CAGTCAGGGTTTCCAGTCAGGAAAAAGGGGACAGTGTAACAGAGCAGCTGGACTATGTCTGCATCCCATCGAGGGCACTTTCAGCCCAGAAATCCAGTGAAACACATTTGTTCAACACATAGGTAAAACCATTTCCTCACTGTGTGATGCCAGGCACATGTAAACCTTTGTCCTCACAGCTTTGGTCTTTGATCCTGCCTGCTACTCTCTACTCTGCTTGCTGTCCTGGATACTCCTTGCTCTGCTCCTTGCTCCTTTAACCACAAACATTTTGGCTATTTAAATTCTTTTAGAACACATATAGCCTGTAGGACTCCACACAGTCCTATTTGTCATACAAGTCCAGACAACTTGGAAATGTTATTTCCCTCTTCTTCCCAGGATTTAACATTTATACCCCAAAACTTTTTCTTGGGCACTTACCAAACCTGGTTATACGTACACAGTTACAATACATACATTGCAATACTCTGTATACTGTGTGAGTATATTATATGATTCTCTCACAAATCATGACTTCTTTTTTAAACAGAAGTGCTTCCTAAGCACATAAGAATGGAGTGAAAAGTGTTTCTTCTTAAGAAAATCAGAGTATGTCCCACCGGTTACATGCTGTGAACACAGAATAATGCAGTGAAATGGTTCTGCTAATTATAGGTCATGTTCATTCCATGGTTGGAAGTGAAACTGATCTCACACCACTCATAAGAGAGAAGAGAATCCTCTCTGTGGAACCAGAAAGATCAGATTTTAAATATATCCCAGTCATAATACACAAAGATGTAGCTATTTCACAAAAGCTTACTAACTCAGATTTGTGGGGGGTTTTTGAAGCAGAACAAGGTGTAAGTTGGTTTAAGACCAGACTTGTGTGCTGGGTATTTATCAAACCAATGGTACATCAGAGGGAACAAAAATAACCACTGAGTTATTTAAGAGAACGATCCACTTGTTTAACCAAAGCCACATAAGTAATCTTCTCTTCACCTTTATGCTAGCCACAGATCCCCAGTGGAATTTCAATTTATATCTCTTACATAATCAGAGCACACTTTTAGGGGAGAATTTGACCCTGACGGAGGCAGGAGGACTGGAGAGACTTGCTAATAGTCATGTGGTAAAAATAGTCTTTTCATAAGCCCTGCATGAAGCACGGAGAATGTCTTGAAACATGCCCTAGCTAGTATCAGAAATAGCTGAGCCAGAGATGAAAAGCATCCTTCTGCTCAAATGTAAAGGGAAAAAAGCCCCTAAGATATTCTATAATAGTCCTCATGAGTCACTCCAATGTGCTAATGAGTTTGTCACGAGCCACCATTTAAAATGGCATCCCTTTCTCATCAGCACAGAAGCACACCAGTTACCCAGACATTCTTGTTCTCGTTCACTCCTTCTCTCCATCAATCTAGAATATACTAACATCAGTCTCATTTCAGGGTCTGTAGAAATCAGTCCTCACAGCCCAGGTGTTTATTCACAAAAAGAAAAGTGAATAAGCCTTATGATCCCTGGGAAGCAGCACTTTCTCCAGGAGAACAATTTCTTTCCTAGTTTTGCCTATACAGCATATCCAGTTTCCCTACCTTTTCTGCAGGTAGCTTGGTTCTTTAATCCCCTGTTGTCTGAGAATAGTAGGAGATTTGTCCTAGTTCGTGCTTGGAGGGCTAAGGATTTTGTGTATTGTTCTTCCAAATTAATTACTCGCATCTCTAAACTTGCCCATCAAGTATGGAGCTGCTTATCCAGCTTCCATGGGTTGTAAAGAAGGCACTAATAAAGTGAGTTTTTTCTTCTCAATGAAGTATGGAGTACAACATATATACAAGTTAAAAGTCATGTATTAATGGGATAAGTACCTGGGGCATGAGGAGAGGACATGGCTAGTCTTTCTTATGATTCGGGAAAGAGTGGTACTATAAATGAATGCAACAATTGGTAGTGGTCAAGCATTAATAGAAAGCTATCATTGTTAAGAAACTAAAGTGCCTGCATAAATTTTATAAAAATCTCTATAACCACAGCCAGTCTGAAGCAAATATTTTGAAGTAGGAGTGTGCCTGGAAATGAGACTAAATCAGTGGTAATAATGTTCATTTGAAATTACTAGAGAAACCCCAGAAAATCCCAAGATATTAGTAACATCTGTGTTTGAAGTTAACTGTGCATAGAATTCTGTCCTGATAATTACCTGCTTACTATGAAAACAATTTCATGTTTGTTTGTAAAGTGTAAGCTTTTTACAATGATTCATGCTTGCAATTAGAAAGAGTTTAGCAAAAGATGCTGGAGAGAGGTGACTCTATGAGGTTTTGAGCAAAACATTTACATTTTCCTTTCTGGGTAGAACTTTGCCTTACTGAGTATTTACTCCTGAATTATTATTTTTTTTTCTTTATTTTACTGCAACATCACACCTGATTTGTCCTTGTCAGTGAGCAGCAAGGGCAGAGTGGTCCCTAAGGGAAGGAGATGTAGGGTGACAGCAAGACAGGCAGAGTAGCATCACCCCTAACAGAGCCCAGGTCTACAGTGCCTGATGAGGGCAAGCATGACAGGTGTGGAGATATAAACAGGGTCAGCTGAAAGTGGAGATTGACAGATGAGTCCATGATGATGAGACAAGTCTGAAGCCAAGACAGGAAGTCAAATCCATGTGTCAGGGTCAGGATTCAGTTCAGCAGGGTGCCTGGCCAGGTATAGGCATAGGTGCAATGTAGCTCTGGCAGAAAACAAGTGTGAGATCCCAGCCTAAAATAAGCTCCTAGATAAAGGTGGAGAGCCTTTTCAAGGGCTTCTTGGGCAGCTCTCCCTCACATAGCTTCAAGGCTGGAGAGCTGCACTATCAGTGCTGGCCCTGAGATCAGGCAGGATATCTTCCAGGAGAGAGGGTTATGCTCAGGACCCTGGTAGCCTATGTCAGGATTGTGAGTGTTCCCCTTAATTACTCACTGTACACATATTTATACAAAAAACAGAGAGGATTTTTTTCCAAGAAGTAAGTGGTAGTAAACCATAGGGAGATTCAGTAGGTATCAGGCCTCTGGCTTCTATTCATGACTTTGAGAATCTCCTGATTTCAAAAGTTTAAAACCCAAGGATTTATTATATAGGAATTAAATGATAAGGGAAGTTAGGGGTCTGGAGAAAAGTGTAAGATGAGAAGACACAGCTCAACTCCTAACAAATATTTGTCAGAGCAGAGCAATGGAATACTTCATGGCAGAAGCATATTGACACCCCATGCTTCTTTTTAACCAGACTGCACTAGAAGCCGTTAAGGATAACACTCTGGAGTGTGCTCTCTGAAGGGAGAGAGATATCAAAAGACAGAAGAGAAAGCTAATTAGTAAGTAGATCTAGGCAATACAAAAGTGAAATAATGGAAAATAAAAATCCTCTTTATAAATACTGACTTACTGTGACTACATTTCTCCTTGCAGTATGTTCTCAAGTTCTCCATTCTGAGACTAGTATATTATTTGAAAAAGCAAAGACAAGAGCCAGAGGTTTCAGTCAAAGTGAGGCTGAGCCCTAAGTCAGATGATAGTTGCATGTGGCCACAAAAGGATACCTTGTTTTATCCCAACAGGAAAGTTACATCACATATTTGGGTTTCAAATGCAAAACAGTTTTCTTCTATGTCTCTTCTTCTCTGCCAGCATCTGAGCCACTGTTCCTTGTGTCAAAGCTACAGTGCAAATGGTAAATTGATCTTAGGGTGATAAACTTGACAGGAGAAGAAGTTGCTGGTTCCCCAGTGTTTTCTGACAGAAGGAAGGCATGTCTGACTTCAGATAAAGTAATGTACCCAAAGCACCAGAGAATCCTAATGGCAGAGAAATCTTTTCAGGTTCAATAGTATCTGAAAATCCTCAGCTTCCCCCACTATTTCTGACGAACAGTCAGTCACAAAATGGTCTACAAAATGACATTATGCCAAACTAGACATTTGTCAAATTTGCTCCACTTGAAGCACAGATTTTAAAAGCTCATAGAGACAAGGTCTCCATAAGTAGAAAAACTGGTATGTTAAACAAAGACTGTTTTTTAATTCTTTCTAGAAATGTGACATTTATTTTAATTACAGTATGAGAGTGCTTTTGTGATTATGATCCTGGTCTGCATTTGGGATCACTTGTTTGCATCCAAAGATCCAGGGAAAAAGTATCCATTCCTGCTGTTGAAATCTGTTCTTCTTAGACTTATACATTTTCTTTAATCACTCTCTATTTCTGTATTATATTGCTGAAACTAGCATAATCCTTTTTCCCTGTGAACAAATGTGAGAACACATTTGTGTGAGGCGTCTTGATATGTAGTAACTGGTAGAAGACAGGTTGGTAAAGACTTCAAGCATGTGAAAAGTATACATAACATCTTAACTATTCTCTGTGTAGCTGGGATAAGTACTGAGCTGAAATCATAGCAAAATAGAAGCAGGTGGGATTATAGAGAAAACTTTCTGATGAGAAAGAGTAGTGAAGCATTGGACTGCCTCACAAAGGAAGGAGTAGATTCTCCACTCATGAAGGTCATTAAAAATAGGTTAGGCAAACATCTCTCTAGCCTGACATGCAGAAATGATCATGTCTTGAGGAAGGAAAATAGTTTTGACCTCTGTTTCATTTTGGCGCCAGTCCAAAGAGATGATCTAAAAGGCTAAATGATCCTTCAGTTATAAAAGGCCAAGAGACCCCCTGTCTCGATGACTTCTCAGTGTCTCTTAGGAATTCCTGATTGCATGAGACCCTAGAAATGTGGAAGCAATTGTGGATTATGAGGGTGTCTTTGGCGGGGGGGGGGGGGGGGGGGAGAAGGGGTGTGTGCAATGTCAAAAATGTGCAGTACTAATGTGCATAAAAATATGGGCAGAAAATCATTAAAGAATTCTGAAAACAGAAATGAATCATGCAATGAGAAGTGAGGAGGAGAGGATAAACCCATTAAGGCAAAACACAGATTTCATTTGAATGCTGCTACAACCAGTGGATCTTAGGAGCATGATACAGGTAAGAACAGAAATGTCCCTTAAGTGTCATATGTCACTGACACCCCGATCTTCCACAGTAGATCTTAAGAGCAGCCAAGTTTGCTGTTCTTAAGCACTGCAGACATCTATAACATTTCTGCCTGTGTGGGAGGTCTGAAAGATGGGAGGCATTTGAGAACATCAGTGATGTTCTGCTAAGTTTCTTCCCAAACAGAAAACTCAGATTATTCTGTGCTGAACTGGGACCAGTTCTTAAGCCTCTCAGGCAGTCTTCTTATCAAATTGAAATTCATTCTCACGTTCTCAGATTTGCTGAATGTCCTCTGAACAACTACAGCACTGACATGCTGCCATATAGTAACAGAAACCCAATGATTTATTCAAGCAAATCCCCTGATGCAGAAATCTCTTTTATGTACTTAGTCTAGGATTTTCTAAAGGTTAACGTGTATCACTTTGAAAGTGAAGTTCCTGTTGGCTTGTCTGAGAACTGTGAGTTCAGGTTTTCTTATCCAATCCTTTTAGAGGTTTTTGGTCATGTGTTATATCAAATTATTAAGAGTAACTACATTTTCACCTAGAAAGATGATCACTGTTACCTGTTAGTTTTGTAGCTGTGAGAATTATTGCAAAATTCCAGATGTCATCATTCTTGCCATCTTCTCTTTAGAAGAAGAAAAATTACAGATTGCTTTACATGATGAAAATCCTGGAATGTTGCTTTCTTTCCACAACAGCTCAGGTACTGGTCAATCCTCTAAACAGAGAATAGTGCATATTCTTAAACAAAAATAATTCTTCTTCATGTCTGTGACATATCCCAGATGATAGATATTTTTGTTTCAAGTTTTGATATATTTTCTAACATGTTTGAGATGAGTTAAATATTTAAACTTCTTTAGTTAGTGCTGCAAAACAAACTTAAATTGCAGCAACAGAACAAGCCTTCCTGTGATGCCCCATGAACTAGAGTTGACATAGGAATGCATCTATAGAAGCATAAATTTGTTCAACATTCCCAGTAACTTCAGAGTCCGGTGAAGGCTACCTGCCACCCTACCAACACCACTTGCATTGTTGAGGTTTCTGTGAGTTTATGAGGTATATATAACATTGTAGGTATTAGTCAGAAGAAGCACTTTCTTAACTGTAGTTGTCAATGTCCCTAATTATCTTTTTAGAAAAATCTTTCTCTGATCTGTCATGCTTTCATACTGCCTCCCAACTCTGTTCCTTTGTGTAAACTATGTAACTGCTCGCTCCTGCTGGAGCTGAGTTAAACTGTCATCAAAGATTAATCATCTAACATTAACCTTTCAGATCTTTAGTAACAAATATGTCATTACTTCTGTTTTATTTTATGATTACTGTTCTTTAAGCCCAAGGCCTCTTTCTTCAGAATTCTCTCAAACTTCAAGTATTTGGGAGAGTGTGTGAGAGAAATTAAGTGATACTACAAAGTTAAAGGATGGTGTGTGTGCAAGGCTCAGGAGCCTGCTTGCAGATCTCCAGCATTTCACCAGACCCACACCTGTTGTCTGTTCAGCACTTCCAGAAAATTGAGGGCACTCAGTACTTCTGAGGCTACTAATCTACTACAAAACTTATGACATTGTTTAGTCTTTTAATTAAATTACCAAGAATTCTGGAGAAATTCAGATGTTGTTTTTTAAATTTGCTAATCCAGGCTCAGCTGAGGTCTGAGTCTCACTGAACCACAGGAACACACATTTGTGTTACTTGAATAAAAGTTTGTACCCAGAACGGAAAAGACAAAGAGTGAGACAGAAAAAACACTGACCCAGTTAAAACTAATGCAGCAGAATAATAAAAATATTTTTTAAAAATGCAGTTGTAACCAGATCAGATTTTTAATCCAATTGTCCAGTTCATCTCATAAGCAGCAGAAAGATTGGAGCACCAGCACCACAGGGAGAGCACACAAGAAGCCCATGCTGCAAGGCCTCTTCTAACACAAATACTTGTTTGTGTCAATGTGGAATTACAAGGCAAAATCAACACCCTTTGTCTGTGGGACTGCATTACACAGGACAGCAAAGCACTTTCTGCAGGCTGAAAATGGGCAAACAAATGGTTATGGTGAACCAGCAGAGGTGTGATCACTTGCTGTGCTGTGGTAACATGGGAATACCCCAGAGGTCTGGGAATTTCTGTGGGTACCCAGTGGATCACTGCTGTTGAGAAGGGGAGGGGCAGGAGGCCATCAGCGGCTGCCACCAAACTCCCAGGTGAGAACCTGACATCAGGATCTTTGCTACACTGCCCCCAAGTGCTCCGTTTGTGACAGCTTGTGCATGAAGAGGAAGGCGGTCCTGAAACCAAATTGCTCTCCAGGGGAATCTGTCTGCCGCTGTTCTGCGATGAGACACTAGAGGGAAGCGTCAGAGTGCGCTGGCCGTGCCTGCTCACCACAATCGGAAGCCTTGCTGCTCTGTTATGATCCCAGTTAGAAAGGCACTCAGACTCTGTGTCGTTTAAAATGCTTTTTATTACAGGTAACACTATAAAATGAGAATAGGATAGATTACCTTACCTCCCTTTACATGCTAGGAGCCCAGAGCGGTGTAGCATTGAGCAGGATGACAACTCATGTGCAGGATGAACATAATCTGCATAGTGAAATTTTGTATTTCATGAACTTAAATTTTAACTACTGATTTCACACATGAGAACACAGTTCTGATAAATGTTATCTTTGGAAGTCAATCATTTTGAAACTTCAAATGAGCCCTGGTAGTGATTTTTTGAGGTTGTTTTTTGTTGAAAAAATTTTCTTGCTAGAGAATTTAATCTAAATAAAAATTGTTTACTCATCTCTATCTGAACTTCAGCTTGTTATCAAGACACAAACCATCTGGAAAGTTTGAATGCCAGAATAAATAAGTATTTTCAAGGATATTTGAAGCTTTCATCACAGTAATTTTTGTTTTGGTATGTTGCTGGAAATTGCTTTCCTAAAATATTTGAATGGACAAAATTAGCAAGTTTTATTCAGCAATATTTTAACCATTGCTATTGTTTTCTACAAATATTGCATATTTATATTTTAGTTATAAGGTTATTTTCAAAACATTAATAAAAATACTTGTTTTTACCAATATCTACAGTGATATTTCTCATAAAACTCTGTTATATCTATATTTCCTCTCTGTTTGGTAGTAGAAGTTGTTATGGAGTTAATGAATGAAATGGAAATAATGTAGCTTAAGGGACTATCTTAGCACAGCCAACACAATAGAAATAAACCTGTAAACATAAAGCTCTTTAATAAACTTTATCTCCATCAGTAGAAATTACCTATTTTTTTTCAGATTAAGAGACCCTTCTAAGAGAAGAAGCCAAAGAACTGTGTTATTGTACTAAGCTAGTCAAGTGGCTGTAGGCAGAATTCAGTTAATCTATGCTAAACTCATTCTGTGTCAATAAACTCATTTGTAGTACAGTGCAATGTTAAGATGCTAATGCAAAATGTGTGACTGCATATAACTTTCAAACAGAAAAAGCAGCAAATATAAAGCGAAGATTATTAGGTTTGTGATGGCCATCTCACTTTATTCAAATCTCTTTCTGATTTTCTTTATATACAGAGATTTGTAGATAAACCTGCAACATGTGTTACTCACTAAGCTGGAAATCCCTTCTTTTTACTGTGGTTCAAATACTTGTATTGCAAAGTAGTCCTCACTGGTTGTCTTTTTAAAATTTCCAGTGCTTAAACGTAGGGGTGGTAATGTGTTTCTCAAATAGCTGGGATAGATTGTTAAATCAGATAATCACCAGCCATTCTGATCTATCCATCTTTAATTCAGGATTCCCAAACCAGCTCCTTGCCCTTGGCCACCGTCCAGGTGTTCTGAACTTGGTAATAGACAAGTAGCTATAAAGGTAATGTGTGATCTTAACAGTCCTTGAATCATGATATTAATGTCATGTGAATATTTGACAGTCCTATTAAAGAAAATAGGATCAGTCTGGTAATCTTTTGGCTGCTGTAGGGTCTAACAAGTTGTAATCCTTAGCTTCCCTTCCAGCAAATTCCTTATTAAGCACAAGATATCCTAAAACAAATCACCAGTAAAACCTCTCCAAAATCTTAATATATGTATAATTATTTTAAGCAGATAATTCTAGCAAAAAAAAAGGCCTTTTTTTTTTCCTCTTCTCTTTCTACCATGTAGCCAACCTGAAATTATACAAAGACTTCCATATATTGAAACCTATGATTTAGGTGAAATGGTCATAGTAAAGCCCAGGAAGACACAACAAATGAGGATTAGGATTGCACTACAAACATAAAATTCCAACCTAAAATATTTGTATTCATCTATACAAATATCCCTTTCATGAGTGAATCTGGACAGATTTTTTTAAATTGACCTACAACCCCTTTCAAGGTAAACTGGGCACACACTGAGGTTTTTAGTGCAATTTTGATGCAATAAATAGTGAAGTCCGAGCATTTTGACTAAGATTCTTAATGTCAGTTTGGGCTGAGAGCCAGAATTCCAGAGAAAACACAGGGAAATATTCAGCAGAGCTGAATCACAACTGAAGTTCTATGTTGGCTGTGACTTCAGCAAACAGAAATAGTGATGAACACATCAATGTTTTTAGAGTACCAGTGTGGCTAGGCAGAGGTCTGTTTCACCTGCTTATGTAGCAAGACACTTCACAGGTAGAACTTGTCCTACACCTCCAGGGACTGAGAAATTGAAGGCAGAGGGTCTAATACAATTCAGGCTGGAAGGAACCCCAGGAGATTGCTGTAGTCCAAGCTCTAGTCTTACAGTTCATTTTACATCGGTGACCTTTTCTTGCCTTGCACCTCTCCTCCCCCAGGCCCAGCAATGTCTCTGTGTTTATGTCCACAGTATTGATTCATCTGCTCGAGGGTCAAATGCTGCCCAAGTTCAACAAGGTAATGAAATAAAATCCTCCCACTGCTTTTCTAGCTTTGAGCTGACAGGGGCACAGACTTCAGTGGTCTGAGAGCGGGGCTGCCCCTAAAACAAGTGATAATTTTTCAGAGAGGTTCAGCAGAGGTGCAGAGGGGTGTTTCCACCATGCACCAAGAAGAAGTGGGGTAGGGGAGAAGAGGGAAGGAGGAGGAAGAACAACTGCAGCAGCTGGAGTTGCCAGGATCAGCTTGCCTAGCAACCCCCTGTCTTCGGCAAGGGCATCTAATTCAGTAGCTACAGCAACATCAGAAGCAGCCCTGACACCTGGCGAGCTGGGTGTGAGTTAGGGAGCATGAGAGCTGTCAAAACACCAGCCTCAGGGCTCCGAAGCCTCCTCAGTTTATTGGTAGGTAAACTACATAGATCTGCTTACCAGAACTTACTCCTGTGGTCTGTGCATATGGGAAGAACTGCGTATGGCTTATTGCAGTGAGACAGCTATTTAGACTAGGCAATTGTTGAATGTTACTTTAGTAATGCAGAAAACAATAGTAATAGAAGAATATATTGGAAAGATCAGTTATATAATTCTATTTTATTCCACAAATACTGTGATAAGTAATTGTATAATCCAGTAGGTGATTATCCTCCAAAAATATATAGAAAAATAGTAGTCGATTATTCGAATAGAAACTATTGTCTTTTACTAGAAGTGGAGTAAGACCAGGGTGCATTACCATAATGTACTCTGTTCTGTTCATATATACCCTAGAGTGTATATTTTAATACATGATTAATATATCTATTATAATATATGTACAGGTATAATAGATATTCTGCTCCTGTTGCAATTCAATCTGTATGTTATTATGATACTGTATTCTACCTGTAATAGGCTTATTCAATATTAATATTATCTATAGTTATGTATTTTAACACTTACATAATTAACAGTTGTATTATTATAAAGGTACAACAGAAAATAACTCATTCAGAGACTTTGGGTGTAAAAGATTAAAAGAAACAGAGCAGTTTGGTGGAGCGGAGATTTGCCATTTTAAAAGCAAACAGAAAAACCTCTTTAAAATGTCTGTTTGCATATGGTCCTAGAAGCAACCGCTCTTTGTAGAGGAAACCTTTTGCAAGAGAAGGATTAGCTAATTTCTGGATAGATCAAAATAATATACTGTTCTAGTTTGTATACCCCTATAAAGCTGTAAATTTTTGTTCCAGAAGTTGAAGAGAGCAGAATGTACCAGGCTATATTTCCACATTTGGTTTAATATCTTTAGAAGAAATATAAACTTTGGAGATGGAACTCATCTTTGCCTTGTTCCCATACTGTCTTTTTTTGGAGTATATTCATAGACTTTTTTTCTGGCAGGTGATATTAGTGGAAGGGTGGCATGATTTAGATAACAAAGACTATGACTGTTGGCCCCTGGAAAAACCAGATGAGTATAATATGCTGGACTGTGGAGGTGAGTGAGTCCTAAAGCTGCTCAAGATAGAACATCTCTTCCTTAAGAAATGGTTGAAAGCCCAAAATTTAAGTACTCAGAATAGTACCTAATTTGTGATGAATGTTACGCATGGTGGAAAGCACCTGAATCAGTGACAACCTCTCTTTCTACAAAAATAAGTGTAAAAAAACAACCAAAAGATGCTTCAGGGAAATTATTTGTCCAATATTCATTGGTTCCAAAAGAAAAAGTAATAGCAACAGCTGAATCCCTTCCCCCGGACAGAAACTGAAAACATTTTATTTCTCATTAGAAAACCAAATGCAACTTAATCCAAACAAAGCAGGCAGGCAGCTCTGCATTGCAGCAAATTCTATTGAGTCATTGCTGAAATTTTGTAGTGTCAGTTTGAAAGTGGACTGTGTTCAAACCCTTCAGTCAGTACGCAAAATCACTGATTCTACACATCATGCTTTTCAACCTTGCTCAAAACTGTGTTCCATGGATATTTAAAAAAATCTGAGTTTTTAAACTGCTTATTCTAGTCAGTTTAAAAAATGAGTTTACACGATGAGATAATAAAAAATATATATATTTTTTTTTTATGTTAGAAATACACTGTTTGAGATTGGAAAATAATTAAAGAGCAACTGAAATATGGGAAATTCAATTTAAAAATAGGAAAAATCTTTTCTTCTGTAAGGGTTATCAAATAGTAGAACAGGTTGCCCAGAAACCAGTTGTGGTTTCTCTGTCCTTGGAGATTTTCAGAATCCAGCTAGACAAAATCTAGAGCAACCTGCTTTAGGTGACCCTGACTTGAGCAACACAGGTTTGGACTAAATGATTTCCAGAGCTGCCTTCCAATTTCAACTGTTCTGTGATTTTGTGGCTCTCTAACTGATAAACAACTGATGTAAAGGTACCCTTTTGTTTCTGTTGTAAAAGATAAGACCAGAGACAATGTGTTTCAATAGGGTTTTTAGAAAAAAACAAGAACACCTGAGAAACTAATACTGATAAAACACTCCAGGAAATATACTGCTGTGTCATGGTCTGAGCTCAATATTACAACTAAACATTTTCCAAACAGTTCCATTGGAACAGTAAAATTCAAAGACTACCTAGATGATCGTGAGCTTAGACTTTTATCTCTGTATGAATTCACTATTGCTTTAACATGAAGCAACAATGTATCAGAACAGATGACTTGTTTAAAGATATTCTTACTAATAATCAAAGTGTGAACTGAGTACAAGGGAAACGAATATAAGTGTTTTTTTAAATTAACATATAACATATACCTTTTACAAGCAGTTTTAGAATGAACTCCAGTCTCTATCCTGTCTTTCTCTGTGGTTCTTCCTTGTCATCTTCTGGGCATTGCTGGAAGCAAAGCAAGAGGCATATACTGTAGCCTCATTTCTGTGGATTTAACACAAGATCTTCAAAGCATTTAGGTGTGGGAGTATCTATCGTTGAAAGAAGAGTTTTGTTTATCTTTGTGAGACCTTCAAAGGGAACTAGAAAGTAATTTAACTGAAATGTATGCTGACCTTTTGCCTTCTCACACATTCTCTGAAGATCAGCTCTCTCTTACCTTTTAGTGCAAATCGCACTAGCATTTTTCTGTAAATCTTTGTGTTGTAATATTTCTCATAGTGTTAGCATTTATAATGAGTATTTACTTTTCAAGGGAGATATGAAATCAAGAGGTTATTTTACAATTTGCTTCTTTATATCTGAAAGGGAATTACACTTAGGGGGAAAAGCAGCAGCTTCACTAACAGTGTAAGTGAAAAATACACTTATAAGAACAACTCTACAGTAACAAAAGAGTTTATAATTGAACAACAGCAACACGAAAAGTGAGGATCTCTTGAAGGGCAGGTTTACCCATCCTCTGCTGAAGGGATTTAAAACTTCCTGACAAACTGAGCTACACACTCGCATGATGTAAGTAATTTCATGTGGTGTGAATTAAAACCTTCATCCAATAATATGGAAAGATGTAGGTGAATGGAGTGGGAAGATTTTGATAGTGTTGTTTAATAAAATGGATTAAAAATTTCTCCCACCTCTTATTTAACTTAATTCCCAGGCTCAGAGCAGGTAATATGGTGTTCTTGTTCCTGGTGTTCCCAGGAACAAGAGAGATGACTCAGATAAATCATCTTTCCCAGTAAAACTGTAGAAATGGAAAATGACAGATGTCTGAGTAGCACTCCTTCCACTGTCCTCTGTTCTAAATGTGATATGGTTGTATAAAATGAGAATATTTTCCTAAATATATAATTATTAGTATATATCATTTATGTCTTATGAGGCTAAGGGTTTTGACTGAATTTTGTGTTTGCTACAGTTGTCTGTTTTTATTCCATACTGAGGTGTGCCTCAGTGAAAGCAGCTAAGAATGAAGAGCAATGTTTATTGCCTGATCAAAGAGGAAAACAAATATATCAGGACAAGCAGAACTGCATTATATTGGAAGCAAAGTTACTCTATATAAGATGATCAGACTTTTTGTCATATTTCTTCACGTGCTTGATCTTTTCTAAGTGAGTGTCAGAATAATTCAGTTAATATGCATTTGTGTTTACCTATATAGCCACTAAAATGGATAACTGTTTTGGGCTCATAAAAAGCAATAGAAAGGATAGATGAAAATCACTACAGAGAAAGTTTTACATTCATATGCATCTGAAAAGCAGAAAAGTATAGCAAATATCTTGGCCCATGTTTGTGTTGTTTCTAGGCCTGGAGATGGCATGGGTGCAAAGGCCTCCAGAAAAGGCTGTGAGTGGGGAATTCTTCAACGTGACATATGCAGTCTTTGCTTCAGACAGCTTTTATCAATATGCGGTGAAAAATGGAATCCTTTCTCACAGGTATTACCTCCTATGCAAATGCTTTCATGGGCATAAGTATATGGGGATTCTGTGTGTACATTTTCAGTAACATAATTGGAACACATACTCTGGGGCTTCTTGATAATTCCTGCATCTCTTGAGGTCTCTTATAGCTCTTTTGTCCTGTTATTTTCCCTTCTGCAATATCTCTGCTCTCAGAGCAGCCATCATGGCATGCTTGACCACATGGTCAAAGATAGGGCATGTCATCCTCTATCTACATTACTGTCTCAGTGCAACACTGAACATCACAAGGAATTTACAACTAAAGCTTAAGCATGATTCCCAAGCTAACTGTGTCTTACACTCATTTTAATCTCAAGTGTGTTTGAATTGCACAACATGGATATGAAAAAAAGGCTGGCCCAACCCTGAATCCACTGAATTCAGTAATGAACTTCTGTTGATTTCTGTGGGATTGAAATCAGTTCAAAAGCTGATATATCAACTCAGAGACTGTGTCGGTAAATGTAGTCAAAGAAGTTAAACACAGAATGTTTATGTGTACAAATCGAGATCAGTAAAAGGTTAATACACCCTGATTTTACACTTTTGTCTGTACACAGCAGTTCTCTATCCATACACAGCAATGTCTGGGGCAGATGCTGAAGCTGTATTTCCCCACTTTTTGTGCTATACTTGGTTAGTGTAAGAGATGTTTATAGAAAATCACATTTTTCTCTGCCAGTCTGCATGTTCACATTGCAAAGTTTGTATTGTAAAAGCTGTTATCCAGAGATTTTTTTTTCTTTTTTTTTTTTTTTTTTTTTTTTTTTAGTTGAAAGAAGAACTATAATCTTATGGCAAAAAAAAATATATTATATTTTGATCATTTGTGTACTGTGGTTGCACAGTTTTGCAAAATTTGGTTATTTTCTGAAATTTATGGCTATTAATGGTTCCAAGAAATTAACCATAAAGCAGTTTTTTTGACTGCTTGGAAGTGAATCTGTTTTTCTAGTCTTTCAAGGAGACCCATTCCATTAAATCTGTAAGGAATTTGGAAAATTCTGTTCTGTGTGTACTTACACATATCTTTACATAGAGGCAGATATCAAATATTTAAAAAGAGAGAAATCTATGCTGCAGTTTTTCAAAGAGGTCAAATTTGCACTTCATTTTAACTAGAATACTAGCTGGTTGATTCAGTCTTACAGTGGTTGACCCAAATATGGCTGAGGTTGGCAAGTCAGCATAATTAGGTGAAGCCATGATGAAGATACTGAATAAAAAATACAGAATACAGAATAAATTTTAAAAAGCAGACAGAAAGACAAATACATGGTGGAATTAGGCACCAAGTTGCTTAAGTACTTTTTTTTAACTCCCAGCATGGGCTCACAGGCCAATAGATTTTAATATTTTATCTGTTTAGATGTCTTGAAGATTGACAAATTTGCTTATCTCAGGTTTCAAGAATGTCTATGCCTTTGTAAATCTGGCCATGAATATAATCTATGTCAACCTGATCTCCTATGTTTGTGTTTATTTCTTTAATCCACTCATTAATGGCTAGTTTTTTCATTAAAAACAAACTGAAAAATAAATCCTGGTGTTCTGGTATTGCTTTATAGAGATCCATCACAAGTGCAAAACAATTGATCTAACCTGTACAACTAAGTCTGCCTGTATTTACTGAGTAAACCATGTTTACAGAAAATTATTTTATCTTAAAGCTAAATTTATTAGGGTGATAACCAGCTGAAAGTGTAACTGAGGAAAGAGTGGGGAAAAGTGTTGCATCACACATTTCCAGGTAACTACATCCATTTTTCACAGATGAACTTTCAGAAGGCCCAGCTTGTTTTGCAGAACAGTCTATTCATAAAGTCCAATTTCTGCTCTAAAATTTTGGTTTGAAGTATTGTATCTGCTATTATTGTCAATATAGTTTTTTTTTTCCTTGGCTGCTTAGGTTGTGGAACAAAAACTGGAATTGAATTATATGTGTGAATCACATGCATAGATAAAGGTGTATAATTGAAAACACTGAGACTGAAAGTATTCAGGGACACATACTTCTGATAGTGAAAATAGAATAATGCTATCTTCTTCTGTGCCAGATGTAGTGGTGTTAAGTAATCCCATCTGGTCATGAAGCCAGTCTAGGGAGAGAAGTGGAGGTTGGTACCTGCTTGCAGCATAATATCTGCCAGAAGTCCCTACCACAGGGCAGTAGACACTGGTCTGGTTGACAGCAATCTTGATTGCTGTAGGAGCACTTCAACCAGAAGCAAAAAAAAAGAGAAAGAAATGGTGTAACAGTGTTTATTTCACTGCATATGTTCTCACTGCTAATTTTTCTTTGCATGGCAAGGAACAGGCTCTCATGTACTTGTTGCAATGTGGGGGAATAAGGAATGAATATAAAAGTTTCTCTTTCTCTCTGCTGCTTGGCTAGCAATGCTACTGCTGCGAAGAAATTCTGTGAGGAGCATGAATGCCCTGACAGCTGGAAAGATGCAAATGGGGAGAACTGCTGTGTCTACCATGCTAACATTCACTCCTGTCCTTTGGCCTTCATGGTTAGTATAATGATGCAGCATCATGTGCTCTGTTCTTGCTACTGGATGAGACATTGTAATAACCGGATTCAAGTTTATGAAGTCTTTCTATGATTACAATTGGACCAAATCTATAGTTTACTAAAACCACTGTAGGGATATCTGTCAGTTTTAGATTTGTTTTGTACTGGATGCTGAGGCTGCAAAGCACATAGCTGGATTTTTGGACAAGGCAGTATTCAGAATCTCTCATTATGATTATTGGGGCTGGTTTCATCTATGTGAGGTTACTTGAATCAGATCTCTGTACAGTCAATAAAGAAAGACAGATCATTTAATTCTAAAGCAAGAAGTTGGAGATGTTACTGTCTCTGAAGTTTATAGAGGGAACTTGAATGATTTGCTTGAATTACTGAAGCCAAGTGGGGTGAATATCACTGGCTGTGACTTGTAGAACTGAAACCTGTATACGTGTGTCCAGAGATGGAATGATTTTTCTATATTAGATCAGAGCAAAAAAAAAGTATCCAAATACAGGATAACAAAATTTGTTCATTCAATGTAAGCAGGATCCGTTCTTAACTTCTCTTCTTGGCTCATTGTAAGACCCCGTCCCTCTTTGAATATTTAAAATTCTGACTGTAACAATACAACAATACAGTTTGGGTCTTTTTTTTTTTTTTTTTTTTCTTTTTTTTTTATCTGTGAGGTAAGCCTTACCCTGCATAATAACATTCATGAAGTTGCCCAGTCTTTGTAGATGATCTATCTTCTGGCAATCTGACACATTCTTCGTGATCAAAGATGGTGTAATAGAATATCTAATCTATACATCTTGCAGCTATTTCATGTACCCTTCTGTGTGAAGGCTCATTGTCTCCACAGGAACTACAGCTTATTTCTTGGCAGTCCCTTCTTAAGGAGCTGTTTTATTAATAAGTCCCTGGGGGCCTTAGCTGGTACCAGGACTTTGATTTAAAAGAGGAATCCATCTGTTGGAACCACCACAATAAAACTTTTGTCTAGAACCATAGTAAGAACTTCAACATCCCATCACTGTGGTGACCTTTCCACTATTCCTTACTTTCACAATTATCTCTGCTTGGAAAAGGTGAAAGCATGTAGCCATCATACATCACCTGGCTTCCTTGTAATACTGTAATTATTTAGTTCCTGCTTTGAAGTCTAAGCAGGTTACCTGTCATACAGCAAGAAGGCCATGAGTATCATTGTGTAAGATTGAACATATATTTCAAAGCAAGCTTTTTCCTTTATTCAAAAGGAGGTTTTGTTGTGTTGTTTTGGTTTTGGGTTGTTTATTTTTTTTCTGTGTCATGACTTTTAAAATATTTTATCTTGGTTAACATGAACTCCATTTCTTTTGATTTGGTCGATGTCTTACAGTGCATTGCAATAAATGCACGAGTAAATATCTGCAGTTAAGAGATAAACAATCCTTTCAAACAAACAAGAAACTGCAAGATTTTCAGACAGCCCAAATAATCCTCTATGGTTGCAATTGCTGAGAGGTTTACATATTAACAGCTTTACTGAGATATGCCCCGCAAACAGGCACAGGAGACATGCCTGCCTTCTTCATTAAAGAAAAAATAGGAAACTGCAATAAAATGCCTTTAGAAAAATATAAAAATTGGGATATGATTCTGTTTCTGATTCTAATACAGCAAATCCTGAAAAGGTGTATTATCTTCACAGAACTACTGCAGTTAAAATTTGGGACCACATTTTGGCTCATGTATTTTAAAAAGTAACATGACATTTTAACTCAGTATAGGAAAAATTGCTTCTCTGTTATTTTATCTTTTACTTTATCACAGAACAATGATGCTTGTGGTTTGACATTTTAATAGATTTGGTTATAAAATATCACTTTATTTGCTGCTAGAGTACACAAGTCATTTTAAGAAAGTAAAAGAGGAGAAGATAGGATTTTCGTTGTGTTGTGGTTTACTGACATAACCAATATGTCTGTTAAAGGGTAGAGGAGGAATATGTGGTCCATGGATCCCAGATGATGGCCAGATATTTACTCACACTTTGTCTACAGCTGGCAAAATGAGCCAAAGAAACTGGACTGCCAAGGTAAGGTATATTTATTGCATACAGCATTTCACCCAGTTTGCTCTTTTCAGAGCTTATTTGGTAGTAGTTTAGTGCAGTTCATGTACATGTAATCCATCTCATTTATTTCTCAGTGTTATGTGTGTAAGTGATACTTATGGCTGAGTAATATCAATTCCCAACTGACTTAACTTGGGAAGTAACAGCTTTTCACACTAATACTCCTTAGGCGCTTAGTAGAAGTATAGGGGTGGGAGGGAAGAAAATAGCCTAATCTGTCAAATGGGCAGATCGCTTACATTAACAGTATATTGAACCATTGACTGGGCTGTGTTGCAGGTTAACATGGTCATTATGTGTCTTCCACCCGGCAGAAGTAGCAGGGAAGAAAACCTGGCAGAATGCACACTCTGATAACCCTGTCTGGTGAAAAGAATACACACCAGGAGGGGAATCAGATCTACCTTTCCCACAAGATTTGTCTCTACTGCTTCTGTTTGACTCCCCAGTCAAGGACAACTGTCCTTCCTGATTCTGAAAAAATGCATGTATTCTTTTGCAAGACATCACAGTTGGATAATTGTTTTTGTAGTGCCCTATTGTATGCAAGTGAAGTTTTGATGCCTGCTGCTTTATTTGCTTGTTTGGCAGGTTGTTTTAGTTCATGTGGGTGTGACTTCTCTCATTGCACACATCAGAGTTGGAAAAATGCAAGTTGCTCTGGAAGCAAAAACCACTGTCCTTCCTGCAGTAGGTATGATATAAAATAAAGATGTGAGGGAATTGCTTATTGTCTGCAAATTTCAATGCTTTTATCATTCATGCACGGTTACCAAGAGCAAAAGGCACTCCTAGCCCTGCTTACCATTGAAAATACACAAAAGTCTTTCTAAAATTCATCCTCACGTAACACTGAACATCTGAAAAAGCATTTGAGTTTCTAACTTGTGTATGAATCTAGAACAGTAGGAAGCCACTCTTGTCAAATAAGTAAAGTCAAATACCATGACCAATGGCTTCAGGTACTACAAAGCTTGATGGGGATCTTCCAGTTAGTATGTTGTGAGGGTCTGGACACTCTTCATCTGAAGGGGAGCAGACTGGCTTTATACATATTGGAAAGGTAGAAACCCATCTTGGTTCCCTTGTTCCCATTAAAATTCAATTGCTCCCAAAGGCATCAGTCTCTCATACACTTTAGTATAGCTGTGTGCAGGGAAGCAGAAATAACTGTAACAGTTCTCTTAACAATGTGAAATTTTAAAAGTGGACTTTATTTAATAAACTAAGCAGACAACCTCAAGAAAAATATTGGGTAAGATAGGAATGTCATCACAGTACTCTTGTTAGCTACTCTTCTGGAAGTTTGAGAATATATTTCCCAATGTTAAGAATTTGTTATTCATTTCAAGACAGCTGTAGCTGATTATTCCAGGAAACTTGTAATTTCTGAGAAAATAAATTTTTAAAATGCAGTTCTACCCCTGAGGCAGAAAGTGGTTTCTGTGATTATCCTGGTATTATACTGGAATTAAATGGACTGAGGCAGAATTAATACTGAGCAGTTGGGTTTTATTTTGTTGAGGCTTTTTAAAAAAAAATATATTACATAGTGACAGAATAATACCTTCAGCTCATCTCAGAAGGCTGAAGTACAGCATGGTATTAGTTTAGTCAGAGGTAAAATTGAAACTCCATTCAGGACATTGGAGAAGGAATTTTCTCCTTTAGGGCTTTTGTTTTAAATCACATCTGATATTGCTGATAATTTTCATAAGACCGTGGAGAAAAAGATATCCTTGAAGAATGGGTTGCAGGGTTTCATTCTGCAGTATCCAGTGTCTTCTGCTGCTGCTGAAGAAGGGTCATCAGCTTCTGGGGATCTCAAGGGCTGGATTAAGTACAAAGGATACAAAAGACAATGCCTGACTTGAGCAATTTTGAGTCTCAGAAAAAACAGACGGACAGTGAGAAACAAAGTAGTGAAGAAGCGATTTATTCACAAAACATGTCAAAGTCTCTGATGTCATTAACAATTTAATCTGATCAGAGATATCCTGTATCATTTTAAAAATCAGATTATTCTTTTAGCTGCTGGGGTGCTATCTCTGGATCTTCAAAATTGATTATTTCTGGTAGTCTGAAGTTTCCCAGCTCAAGAACTGTGTGTTTAAATCCTAGTACAATCTCATTGATATATGAAACTGCCTTAAAATATTCTGATATGTGTTTCCTTTTCTAATCAGTCTGTGGAGATGGCTTTTGTGAAGAAGAAGAAGGCTGCTCTATCTGTCCGGCCGACTGTGGGGAATGTCCACTGTCTGCTGATGCTAGAATAGCAATTGCCTTACCAATATGTTTAGTCTGCACCAGCTTCATTTTGACAGTCATAGTAAGTATCCTTTCTCTTGTCTTCTATTTCCTTTCTCTTACTTCTATGATTTGGTTAGTTAGAGTGGAGCTCTCTCTTAGTAGAAGGATAGATTTTCTTCTGCATCCAGAGCCTGTGTGCTATGGAACAAAGCAGAAGGAAGGGAAACAACCTTTTTGGCTTCTTTATTAGGAGAGGCTCACTGGGCTAGGAATTTCGATCCTGTAAAAGAGAAGACTGAAGAGGAATCTAACAGAGGGATGGATATAGAGTGGTAAAGGAAGAAAAGGTTTTTCACAGCATGGGAACCAGAGGATGCCAGTAAAGAGTACTTTTCACTTGGAATAAAACTTTGTTAACAAATTAACTGCTTTAAAACCTTGTGGAGGCCAGAAATATAAATGAATTCAACAACAAACTGGGTAAATTTGTAAAGAGATTAGCTTGACCATTATTCTCAGAATCCAAATACAATTTATAATGGAAAGCCTTCAACCTGGGATATTCTCAAAAGAAATAATGGGAAAAGGATCTTTTGTTTGTTTGTTTGTTTGTTTGTTTTTGTTTGTTTGTTTGTTTTGTTTTGGGTTTTTTGGTGATTTTTGTGTGTTTGTTTTTTGTTTGTTTTCTAATAGGCTCATTTTCTTGGTAACCAGTTTAGTTCAGTTCAAGGTGATTCATTTTGCATAATAGTTATAAATTATTACAGATTCATGAAGGAAAAACAAAAGGGGAATGAGGAGAGAGGAGTGTTTGAATATGGGAGAAGTAGTTTTGGATACTTTTGAATGAAAATGTCTGTATAAAGAAGAGACAGAATGCTGTTACAGCTTATTATTTCACACTGCTTCAGGGGAAGAGGACCTACATTCCATATGTGTCTACATCTTGAAAAAAATACTTTTCTGAATTTCATAACAAGGATTTAGCAGGTGAATATGACAGCTGTAGAGTCATTATGCTGACTATGTACGTAATATCATTTATTTGAGTTTGGCCTATAAATGTAAATAGGCAGGCTCCTCTTTCCTCAGGGATTCCTTCTCTTTCCATCTTGTACTGCAGTTGCAGTGAGCATCTGGAGTGCACAAGTGCAGTGAGAGGGAATGAGCAGAAGGCTGATTGCCCACCGAGTGAGGTACTGCAGGAGGCCTGAATCACAGTTAGTTTTTTTTCTCTATTCTGTGCCCCTCTGTGTGGCTTTGTGATCTGGAAATGGAAGTAGTGTTGAAAACTGTATGAGTATTTATAATCCACAGTGCATTTGTGACAATGTGTTGATAATAACTGTCCTGTAAAACCATATGATCCTAATAAAAATGTGTGATCTGACAGGTGAGAAGTTCAGACAGTTTAAAATAATTGGCATTTTAGAAAGAGAAATGGAGTTTATTGCCTTGCATAGGCTTATCTAAAGATCTTGTAGCATTTTTTTTTATTTCTGCTATTTTCCTGTAGGTTTTCAGGTTTATTTTTTTCTTCTTGCATTTCTGTATGTTTATTCCTGCTAACTTCTGCAGTAGCATCTTCTTTTCTTGTGTGTTTCATTTAGGTAATAAATAAACAAGATACAGAAGATCCTTTTATCCAATTCGGTAATTAATATCATGTAAAAAGAACCATCTGGGAAACTAATGCTTTCTTTAATCATTCAAGTAGAGGAGAGGATTCATCTGATATCAGTGTCTGCAGCAAGCCTAGTGGTCACTTCTAGCTAATATGTCTTTGTTCAGTCATACCTTTGCAAGATAAAATGTAGAAGTCTTCTCAAAACCCTTTTGAAATAAATGGGATTACTTGATTTTTGATTCAGTGAGATCTATATTTGTCATAAATTTCTACCAAAATATCAACACAACCTTCACACTACGTTTCTGGCATATTATCTGGGTGACTGTTACCTCTTTCAGTGTATGCATAATTCCCAATATTCAATTTCACACTGTAAAAAAAAGGTATAATAATGGTAAAATGCTGCTTTGGTTTGACATTTTGACATTGACTGCAGTTGTAACAGCTGTATAAAAACAGCTGCTCCTCTTCTGAAAGTATGTGTTTGCACTTTCTATGTTAGTTTTACATGTCAGCTCTGCAGAAAATCAGATCAAATTATTAGCTTGATGTCTTCTTTACAAAGTAGCCACCAAATCCCTACCAAATATTCTTTATGATAGAGTAATTGACATAATATGACCTCATTTGTGAATCAGAGGCTAATTCAATTATAGGACATAAGATGTACTGCTCCTTATCTTGAGGTTGGGATGTAGTGTGTTCCTGTCATGCACTTACATAACATAGGACATTCCATTACATGAGGTGATGTAAACTACTCATCTGATGTCCAGGATGAGATGTAGATATAGTGCATAAGAAATCTTGACAATAATGGATAATTTGTAGCCAATGCAAAATATCACATGTTATTAGATTCTAAAATATAGAATGAAAAGTTCTTTAAATACTTATTAGATGCTGTTTTATTCTAAACCTATTATTAATACTCCTGGTTCTAATGTTACTTATAAGATATATGTTGGATGCCTAAACATCAGATTTTGTTTGAATACTTATAAACTTTCATTTGAAAGAAAATAATCTCTGTTTTAATTCCTTCAAAGAGAGCAGAGCTACATCAGGAATTAATTTGATTTATTTTTGTAGTGGTTTCAATATCAGAAACAAAAGATGTTTTGGGATGAAAGCTGGATTATAGATTTCACCTGTATCAAACAAGGTTAGTTATTTGTCATTTTGATAATATGATCAATTTCCTTAATAATTTTGTGAAATAATTTCAATTGTAAGTACATCTTCCTGTTTTAAGGGTCTTAAAAAAGGTGAACCAATTTGTAAAAGACATATTCAATATTTCATCCCTGTAAGGTCTGTGAGCTGATCACTGGTATTTTTGCTCATTGAAGCTTTGGATCGCAAAGTTATTTTCAATAGTTTCTTTCTTTTTTATGGTAATTTGTCAATTAAAATAGACAGGCCTATCCCAAAATGAACAGATAATGTCTGGACCTGGACAAAATGAATTACAGTTTCTTCAGTGGATGTATAATTTTGTATAATTGCTCTCACTAATTTGCCCTGGATTTTCACAAATATAATAGGGGATATAATGAGACCTTAGTTTCTGTGATTGTATGCTGTGATAGACCTGCTGCAAAAAAGAATTAATTGTGGACAGATTTTTTTTCATTTTACCTCTGGATATAAAATATGATTTAATTGGTTCCAATTAAACATGTTAAGAATCAAATCAAATGTTATTATATGCTTTACTGTGCTGCACTTAAAATAGGTACGGATTATTTACTTTGCTGTTCGTTGTTTTAGCATTCAGAAAGAAAACAATGACTAGACTCTTAGAAAGGGTAAATCTGTAGAAATCTGCTGAAGTTGATAGGTTTGTGCTGACATACACTCTCTCACTTTCTGTCTCTATGAGGAATTACTAGAAAGATGTTTGCTTTACCAGTGTTATGTCATTGTGTTGCTAGTAGAGGTGTCAAGACGTTCTTGTGTTAATATGTAGTAGAAATACTTTCAGCCTTGGACTTGAACATTAATTTCTGTGTAGTTCTGGTATGATATCCCCATAGCTGTAAAGACCAGCTGTTGTCTTAGAAATTAATTTGAGTACATAAACCATTGCAATCTGGAATTTCAATCCAGATTTGTGAAAACAAAAATGGAACACCCAAGGAAAAGTGTCTTTCAATATAACAAAAAGGAATACAAATTTTCAGCTGATAGTGAATTAGAAGAGGTCATAAACATCACATGGGAGGAGAAACAGTAGAAAGAGACTGAGGAATATTAGAAGCATGACCAAAATTAACACATTAAAAATGAATTTGAAAAATCCAACATGAAAGACATAGTTTTCTTGGGGAGGAGCCTGTGAGGAAACAATACTGTTTAAGACCTATTAGTGATAATTAACAACTTAAGAGTAATGAGGACTGATGATATTATGAGATTTAGAAACAGGCAGTAGGTCTCCTCTGGACAAAGCTGTCCAGAGATACCCATAGTTTCCTGAAATATAAAGTTGTCTAAATGAAAACACACCAGCAATGTTCTACCCAGGGTATGTAGCCTGTACTGTGAAAAATTAGCTTTATTTTTTCAAGTTAACTCATTTTTTTGGTGTATTGCACTGTATATATTTATATATATACATTTATTCTCAAAGCTATCTCAGGGATCTCTAATAGATTTCTGCGTGGAATACTGTAGAGAGACTCTAAGTATCAATGCAGTTTTGAACTGTGTATGGATAATACTATGATGTGGAAACATGGCAGTCCTAATGCAAGGTGTGATGTTGAACTTCCTCGGCAACACTGTATTGGATACTGATATCAGGGGGAGTTGAGATGTTTCATCAGTGCTGAGACTAATTGGCTAAATATAGGTTTTAACTGGAGATAGTGAAATAATATGTAATTCATCGATTTTATTTTGAAATCCATTTTGTTACCTTGAGCTGGTCATCAGAGATTAAAAAACATACATTGAGATCACTGATTTTTTTTTTCATCTGACTGTAGTGTTGCTCTCAAGTGACTTCCCTCTGGTGTCAGAATCACTTCCCACATCCCTGTACTTTACAGTCTTCTAGGAGCTTCAAATAGACTTGTTAAAGTATGGCACAGGGCTTGCTCTGCTTCCTTGGGTTCTGTCCTTGGCATCTAAATAGCAGCAAGGGCTGATCACCCCAAGAGCAGAGAAACAAAACTTGCATCAGATCCTGAGGATTAGTGGGAAAGATCTCTGGCAATGAATCACCTCTGGAACATTTTTACTTTTTATGTAGCAGTCACATTCCAAGCAATGGCTTTCTGTCTAAAGTGTTAACAAGACCAACCAAGATGCAAAGATTTTGAGAATTCCCTATATTTCTTTGCCTCTCAAGTCTCTACCTTGGAAATAATATGCATCCTCAGGTGCCTTCTCTCACCCCACATCCCATATAGATCACATATTACAGACAGCAACAGGAAGCATGATGAGTGCTCCCCCTGCGCCCAGTGACTCCAATGCCAGCTCTATCACTGCTCTGAGCTCCTGCACAGCAGCTGCTAACATGTCCAGGAAACAGTACTTCACCCAGACTGGGAGATAGTAAGTCAATATATTATTAATTTACTGCAGTACTTACTATAATATAGTTTCACCTTGCTTTCTGGTTCTTGCCACTTTACTGTTGATAGGTAGGGCAAAAGTTTGCATTTCTCCTGTTCGGTCAAATCCAGTAAGTTAACATCATCACCTGATTTCTGTATCACATAATGGCTGTGGAATATCTTACATGCCAGGCTTCTGTTTTGGTTATCATTTCTCCTTTTCTCTTGGGGACTTGTTAAAAGACTGTGACTGCATATGGTGTCTTGAATCCGTTAATGAATGGCCCTTACTGTTCAAATATATTTGGAAACAAGGGTTTTATGTATCCTTTTTTCTAAAATGCAGGCAGAGCACAGCTAGGTTCTTTGCACTAAAGAGTGGCATCCTATACAGTAACACATTAGAAATCTTGTCCTTAAAACAGCTGATGTGACTGAAGATACAGAGCATTTCACTTTTGGATCACATTATAAAGGTGCACATCCTATAACTATATGGGCAAACTGTATAGTCATATCCTGCTATCCAGAAAGCAATTTTTCCCATAAAAATAATATAATTAGGTGTTAGGGGTGGAACATGTACAAAGATGGAACTAATACCTACCATTTGAATAGACAGGGAAGGATCTGTACTTTGCAGGATAGAGGAGCTTACTTAGGATAATCAGCTGAGGGAGCAGCTGCCTTTTCAGCATAGATCACTCTTCTGGAAAATCACAGCCACATCATTGATGAGACACTGTGTCCAGCATAGATCTTTTACCATCAGCATATTTGCTGCTTCTTTCTGAATGATGACACTTTCATCATCATCTTCCTCAGATGAATCAAGGTCAAACATGTTCATCAAGGTATAAAAGATATAAGAATGGGGCATTCATTCTCACTGGCAAAGCACCCATACCTGCCACACCACAAACCCAAAATTTATACCGTGAGTATCACTTAAATTCCTGTATGTATCTCCAATGGAATCCTTTATTCTTCCAAGGAAAATTGCTTTGCTGTCTATCACACTCAGCTGCTTCATCACTGAGAATGCTTCATTCCATGAGAACAAAAGGATGTTACATATCAGTGGTGGATCTCCAAAGCACTAGACAGAAACAACAGATATCAGGGATGTTGCTGTATGTGTTTCACTAGTTCTGACATTTCTTTTGCTTCTACTTCGTCATCCAGATGCCTCAATCAACTCTAACACTCATGTTCCAAATGTCATCCACAGATCAAGGATACTTGAATGTAATCAATAATGCTTCCCCTATCATAGAAACAGGTTGCTGACACCTGTCATGTACTCAGATTCAGAACTACACCCACATATGGGCATGCTTAAATTCTGTGCCTCATCTTTAGAGACATGAAACTGTCCACTGTAGAAAAATTATCCAGTTCATTTTTGTAGTCTGTCTGACTTTTGAAGATGGCCTAAAACCCTGTGAACAGCATTTTATTCTGTTTCAGTGATGGTAGAACAGTAGCTGTAAAGAAAATAACGAAGAAGGCATTCACACTGTCAAAATCCATACGTAAAGAAGTAAAGCAAGTGAGGTAAGAAGTGAAACCTGAGAAGGGTATGTTGTTCCATTTTTACACTGGTTATTTAGGGGGGTTAAAATTGGTCCAAATGTCTAAATTCATATTCTTCTTCCTTTCAAACTTTGCTTTGACACCAGATTAAAATCTCCTTATACCTGTTTTGCTTTTCTCTCTACATTGTGAGACAAGGTACTTGGCTTTACAGTTACCCTACAAACAGTAGGAGGGATGTCCATGAAAATTGCTGGTGTGCTGTGATTTCTGTTGATTTTCACAGAGAACTTGACCATCCCAATCTCTGCAAATTCATTGGAGGTTGTGTAGAAGTGCCAAATGTTGCCATTGTGACAGAGTACTGCCCCAAAGGCAGCCTGACTGATGTTCTGCTCAATGAAGACATTCCTTTGAACTGGGGCTTCAGGTAGAAAAAAAATTTTGAAAACCTAAATGACACAAACTGTGATATGCACTGTTTAGGACGAGATGTTAATTTTAGATAAAGTCTTTGGATAGACAGGCCTGCAGTGTGATATGGAGAGAATGAAGAAGAAAGAAAGAAAACAAATTCAAATACCTAGCCCAATTTGTCTTGTGGATTTTTGAGCAATCATATATTTAGCACTGGTCATACTAGGCCAATGATTTTTCAACCCACTTCTAGTTATACTGCAGAACTGGTTTTAAACCTTTTTTTCCCATGTAACTTCATTTTGTTCCCAAATACCTTGGACATTCTCATTTAATTAAAAATCACTGCATCTCCCTTTGTGAAGACATATTGGTGAAATGATTAGCATAGCTACAAATACTTCATTATATTTACCAATGCAGAAAATGAGATCACATTGTCAATGAAACTTCCACAAAGGCAATGGCATTGTTTTCTGAGAAAAACCTTGGCACACTCTTTCTACTTTTACCTTATGTTTGCCTTCAGCAAAGAAAAATACTGTAAGGGAGGAAACCCTCCAAATAAAGTGAGAAAGTTAATAAAAAAATGTTTCTCTTGTAAACGTTTGAAAGCACTCTCAAGGATACAAAGGTACTGGGAATTTCTAGAAGAAACTCAACTGTCTGGAAAGAGGCTACAGGCCTTTGGACTTAGACAACTGAGTGGCCATTAAGGGTTTTTAGCAACCCACCTTAAGTGTTTTGGAAAAATGAGCATGGGGACACAAGTTGAAATCTATTACTGTCATAGGGAGGCTTTCTATTAACTTCAGTAGGCTTTGGAGCCACCCTTGAGTGAAGGTTTAATGGAAGTACTGGCTCACTGACTTTTGTCTTTCAGGTTTTCTTTTGCTACAGATATTGCACAAGGAATGGCCTATCTTCACCACCACAAAATGTATCATGGACGGTTGAAGTCTAGTAACTGTGTGATAGATGACCGATGGGTTTGTAAAATTGCAGGTAAAGAGAAAATACGAAACAAAATTTCAAAACTGTCCAGCTAACCCATGGATGCATATGGATTTCATACTCAACCCTCCTCCCAAGCACCACCACATTGACATTCCTGATTATACAAGCCTTCACTAGGAGTGTCCTGTGCTGAAGCAAGTTTCATATTGAGTTATCATGTCAATTCCTTTAACATGTGTTACTGATGCATATGTCAGATCCCACAGATGATAGTCTATCAACATCAGTCTGAGCAGAAACTCTGTCTTACTCTCAGTTTTGATACAGAGAGAAAACCTAAGCCATGGACAGTGCTGTAAACATGTGGAATAGTGCTGACTGATAGGTAAACACAAGGTAGTTTCATGGAGTAAAGCAGACTCTACTCAGAGCTTTTCAGTCCTGTACACAAAACTGAATGGTATTCTCTGAGAGACAGAGCTACATGTCTAGTCTGCTCCTGGTACAGGAAGACAGCTTGTCTGGACAGGAAAACCACTGGAGTGTCTAGTTTAGTTTGCAGCTGCCAAATGAATGAAAGCAATGATCATCTCTTCTACTTCATCCCCAAAGTAGTTATCACACTCTATAACCTGCAGCCATCTTAAAAACAGCAGCAACAGATCTGTTTTTTAATGGTTCATCCTATGACTAAGGTTCCTACACAGGGCCATGACTGCATCTCTAACTCATTTAGTATCCTGCTGCCTTCAGAACTGCCTACTTTTCTTAGAGCCTGTTCTGGATATCAAAAATTGAGATAGGTGTATTACAGCAACTGCATCACCTTAGTACAGCTCCTCTGAATTAAATGGCATATCTGTGAAATTGTTCAGAAGTTAACTGGTAGCACTATAGAGACTTGAAATATTCATGGTTTATCTGGATGTGATAATGTTAACAAACCTCACAAACAACCAATGTGGGAGCTATCTGAAAAACTCCAATGACCTCCAACATAAAGAATGAAGCTCTAGGACCATCTCAATTAGAGGTCACTTCAGGCAAAACCAGACATCTGCATCCTGCCTTCCCATACACTCAGCAGAGTGCTGTTTATATCAGAAAGAAAACTGCAGTCAGTTGTTTTTTTCCTCCTCTCTAATGCTGTCACATGCTGAGAACCTCTTCTATGTTAGGCTAAAAGAATAGCTGCAAAGATGTTTTACATTTATGCTGCCTTTGTTCTGAAGCTAATGTTGTGCAAGCAAAGCCCACCATCTGATTTTTAGTAGTTATAGCCTGTCTAACTTGTAATTACTCTAGCAACCTGTCACCGCAGATAAGGATCAGGGGATGAGTAGAACAGAAACCTGTATTTGCATGATCACTCTTGCAATGAAGTGAGCCTATTCTCTGACTATAATTTTATAAAATCATAAAATAATTCTGATTGAAAGGGTTCAACTTCCCTGCTGTCATGCAGTCTCACAAATATTCAGTTTCCAGATCCTATGTTTGCAGTTGGTTTAGAGGGACAAGACCACTGGACACACTATTTTTAGACTAAGATGTGTATTTCAAATAGGGAAAATCAATTCCTTTAGACTAGTTTTGTTACTGTCTACTAATGTACATGTTTCAGAGAAGTACCCACTGAATAGTTTGCTTCCTGTTTTCTTCCATGTTAGATTATGGTTTGCAGTCATACAGGAAGGAAGATTCTCCTGAGAGGTCAAGCTCATACCAGCAGCATTTGATACAGATTTACACAGCTCCTGAAATCCATTCCCTTTCAGAGTTTGAACCCAATTCTACGACAGACATCTTCAGGTAGTTAAATCTTCCTGTTTCTTGCACTTAATAATCTCAAATTGAATGTTCTTGAATCACAATTAGTCTCAACATAATTCTGTGGTCACTCCAGGTTTAAGTTTGATTGTATTTTAAAAAGGATTGATCCTGGAATACAGAACAGCATAGATATCACAGGATCTTTCAAGGTAAATAAACAAATACTGAATTCACTGACATTATATAAATGCAGAGTTGGTCTAATGACTTATGAAGAATTACTCTGGACTGGTAGATAAAAAGGTGTAAAGATCTGCTATTATCTAGTTATACTTTCTGGTTGCTATTTCTTACAAAAAAAAAAATAGATTATTTTCAATAATGGCAATAACTTAAAAGTTAATAGCATCAATTTTTCAGGATGTCATAATGCACAGTTGCATCCCATAATTTTGCAGTTAGTGTCAATGCATTATTTTGCTACATATACACATTGACAATATTTGATTTGCAAAGAAAAATTAGAGGTAGGAAAAGGAAATAGATGCACTAGTGAATAGCTTCATCCCTTTCCTTTCAAAAGCCTTTGTAAGAGATCACTTTGCTTATTTGGCTATCAGGTTTAGCCTTGCCAGTGATAGATAGCTTCTATCCAACCACTTTTCAGATAAACAGGATTACAATTGAATTTTCAGAGAATGATAATCCCATGAAAAAGTCATTGAACTACTTTTTTAAAAAAATTACCTATATTTCTTAGTTCTTGTGATAATTTTCTGCATTAAGTAGGAAAATCACTGTGTTCTTGATGTATTCTATTTCATAACAATGATACTTCCTCTGTCTGCTTACTCCCAGTAGTATGATGAAAGCGTTTGAAACAGAAAAATAGAGAATGATACTACAAGATGTTTTGTGGCCCTTTCATCTTACCTTTTCTTGCCACATTCCCAGTCCAGCAGAAGTGTTCTATTTTCTGGTGACTTTGGTAGCTAGGATAATGTAAAGAACTGGTATTCAATCAGAGGCTGAAATGCTGATAGTTCAAAAACAACCGAGCAGAAGAAGGCATAGATATTAGCACTGTTTATTAACAACATTTACCAAAGAGGAGCTATGACTGCCTTTTATCAAAAGCTCTAAGTTTTACTCTGGCCTGCACTAGACCACAACAAGTGCTTACTGCCTTAAGTAACTGTTACGGAGCTTTTATTGAAAAATTAGCTGCAGAAACAGAGAATGTTGTTTAAATCTTCCCCTTCTTTCAATTATGATTCATTCAAAATTATATGGACTGAAGACATGATTTTACATATAAGATTTACTGGATTAATGCACATTATGCTGGTAAAGACACATATGCATATAAAATGTTCTAGAACATTATTAAATGTAATTCATTCTACCAGATTATTTAAGCGAGAATTTGAGGTCTCAATGGTATTTATATCTATAAGCTTAAACATGCTCGTAGAATTTGCTTCAAAATAGCTCAGCTAAAGGCAGTCTGTTACTGTGTTGATATTTCTGACTATTGTCATTTGTCATGTGTTGGTCTTCACATCTTAGAAAATACTGTGCTCCAACTAAGCAGTAATTTTAAAATTGCCTTATGTATTTCAATTTATCATTGCCCCACAGCCAAAATGCATTCCAGAAATTTTTTCCTTGGTGCCTGTCTGGTTCACACTTTGCTTCTGTTCAGGTTAGATATCAATACTTGACTCTGCAGGCAACCTGGCCTCCTAAAGCCATTTCTTGCCAAGAACTCCCCTTAAAATAGTGCTACAAGATGCTTTGCTCATATCATAGATAACTACAATGAACTTTTGACAGATTCAGTGAATGCTTGCTGAATCTATCTTGCCATCAGTCCCTATGTCTGAAAAATCCAGGTCTTCTTTTGTTGTACTGCAATTAATCCTTTCTTGGTAAAAAAGAAAAACCAGCAAGAGATGAAATCAGAAAAGGGAGAAAAGTAATGTGCAGTCAGGAGACAAAGGTAGAGATGTACCCTACAGCATTAAAAGGGTTGTCTTTTTAACTGAGCTATTCAGAACCTGCATTTTAATACAGTTTGTGTTTGATGGTATGAGCAGCTGCTAAGCCTTCCTTATACATGTGTGTGGGCTCTCTGGCCAGGGAGCAGTGTCCCAGCCTTGAAATCCTCAGTTTTTATCCATGCAAAAATTCCATTAATATTCCTGAAGGTATGGCCCAAATAAAAAATGCGTTGAAACTGCAGGAGTGGGACTTGTAATTTTGTGTGCTCTTACAGATGAATCACTTTTAAAGTTCACCAGGGAATGTGTTGGTCAGATGGGAAAGCTAAAATGAAAATGAGAACAGGAGCATGAAAGAAGCTTCTGTTTGAGTTGAAGAGGCTGTTTCCAGGCACAGTTTCTCCTAGATTGGCTCCTCTTGATTTGTAATTCCTATGTGAATTTCAATATCCACTATGTTAGGACTTTTTTGAGAGGTGCTGTTGAAGCTGAGTAAAATTGATACTGCTTTGTCGGAGTTACCATCATCTAATTACTCTCCTTGGAAGTCTGTTCAGCTTTGCTGTCTCACCTGGATTGGTATTCCTTTCTACTACCAAATTGCCCCAAAATTAGTATAAAAATCTCATTAGATTAATTTATACATTATTCAGCATGGTTTATATGCATTATTTTATTAGCCAGTGTTGGCCCACTGAAAGATAGGTAGACATGCCTCATTATACACCTAGAATACTTTACAAAGTGGAGCAACCATTAGTAATACAATAGATTGCAAACCAATATTCCCCATAAAAATAAGTGTTATCGAGTAGATGCACACAGAGAGTTAATTATTATACACTTTCAATACATAGATAGTCAAGAGCCTCTTTATCACAACTGCTGACTGGAGGAGGTGATGTCTTCTTAGACATCACTGTTCTAAAAGATCTCTAGTGAGTTCAATAAAGAGACTGAACACCCAGTTGTTACCCCATTTTTTCCATTCTTCACCCTTGATGAATGTTTTTGACCTTGGCTCACCTGAGGAATATGATGATGATGAAAATATAATTCAGAAATAATAAGCAAAATTTCTTACTGTAAGAGATCTACTCTGGACACAGTGTCTCATCATTGACTTTATGGAGATCTAGAAATTATCTGTGCTGAAAAGAAGCTATTCCTCCAGCTGACACTCCTGATGAACCTGCTGCTGCCCCTTGATTACAGCACAAACCTGTCCTGTATGTTTAATTGGTAGGTATCATGTAAGTCCCTGCACATATCCTCTCTGGATTCCATTAATTCTTCTAGAAAAAATTGCATTGCTGTCCATTAAACTCAAATGCTTAATCTCTGAGACTCATAATTTTGAGGGCAGCCTGCTATAAAATGATCAGTGACAAGTCTCTGAAACCTCTGAAAACTGAGCAGTAACAGATATCAGCACTGTAGATCCTCCCTTTTGGGATACTGAGCTTCAGGGGAAGAATAGGAAATCATGCAAAGAAAAAATCACTGAATTGATTAACTGTTACTTCATTAACATGTTGGTTTGCTTTTATTCTACAGTTATGCCATCATTTTACTAGAAATTGCCACAAGAAGTGACCCTATGCCAGTAAGTAAAGATGAACTTTCAAGTTTGAATGACAACTTTGATTTTGTTTCTGCTGAAGATATAAACTAAACTCTGAGTAACTGCACCTTTGATTTAATTTTTGAGCATGCATGTTCTTCTCAATTTTGTGGGTTCAAACTTAATTCCAATGGAACATGCAGTCAGGTGCTTCCTCATGTATCTACCAGTCTTCCCTTTGGGACTTTGAAGAAGAGTGTATGACAAAAATAATGTAGCTCCAAAATTGTTTTTTGGTTAGCTCTGTGAGGCTTAATGGCAGGGGGGAGTGGAGGGGAAGGTATGACATAACATCTTCCTTTTTCTCCTGTTGTTCATTCCCTTTCCTGTACAGGACCTTTCAGTGGAGTCTTGCAGTGATAAGAATATGCTAGAATAGCAAATGAGCTGTTCTCCATAAGGAAAATGTCTTATTTGCACGTGTTTTGTGATCTGTGCTAAATGGCAAACACAAAAAATGCATCTTGAAATTGAAACCAGATGCTCTGGATATGTAACCATGTTCTGTCTGAAATGATCTGCTTAACAAGAATTCTGACAATGAAGATCTGAAACTACCCTTCTTCCATTTCTGACAGTTTGTGATAATAGATAAATGTAGGCCCTGTGTTTTCTCAAAAGTTTCACAATATCTTGCCAGGTATTCTTTTGTTTCAAAAGTTGTTTACCTCAAATAAAGTCTGAGACTAAAGTCTTTCAGCCATTGAAAATCTTTTAGAGAAGACCATCCAGTTTAGGCTGAGTTATATCTATTTTTTTTTTTTTTTTTTCATGTACTTTCATGTAAAAAAGCTGATCTGGAAGTGATAGGGAAAGCATCATAAAAGTAATTATGACCATAATAATATATTTTCAATGGGTGTTATGAAAAACACACAACTTCTTTCAACATTGTTTAATACCTTTTTCTCTAGAAAGATGATGTGCATTCAGCTGAATACTCTTCGTGCCCACCTTTGGCAGAATTAATTTCAGGAAAGGCTGAGAATTCTTGCCCATGTCCCACAGATTACATAGAAGTGAGTAAGATAATATTGTGTACAAGAATTATTTATTGAAGTGAATTTAAGTCATGTCACAGAAGTTTTATGGCAATGATGAATGTAAACAACACAGAAGTCAGGAAGTACATCTCAAACAAGGCACAATGAAATGCTTTAATATCCTTAATAAAAAACCTGTCATTCTGACAAATAGAAAGTTTCAGTTGTCCCCTCAAATTGTAAGTGTAATAAATGATGTTTTTAATATTCAATCATTGATTTTTGTGCATTTTCATTTTATTATAAAGTGTTGAGTTCCATACATATTTTATATTAGCAATGTCTATTTAACTTACTGGCAAAGAACTTTTAAATAGCGAAATATGTGTTGCAAACAAAGAATGAGTTTGTTTTGATTCTCATACAAAAGATCTATATGTTCAGTAGCCTCAAACTGCCTATAAAACAAAGTACACCTCCTCCCAGTTCAATTAAATCAGAACAAGATTGTGTCATCGTTTCAGTTTAAGGGTTATCTAATTCACCTTTGTTAGTTTGTAGCAATCTAAATGTAACAAAATTCTCATAAGTAGCACTGTGTTTTAGTCAGGAGTTAACATTCTTAAGAATTAGTTGAGTTTTTAATCTTTTGTGAATATTGTGTACAGACAAGTCCTCTGAAAACAGTATGTGACTCCAACAGCATAACACTGTCTTAAAGCACAAGACAAGAGCTTAAGTGGTGTTTGGCAAAAGGAATGTGTGCATCTAATTCATGATTTTCCACAGCAGCATTTTCATGAACTAACATCCTTCATTCAACACAAATCTGTAGAACTCCAGAAACCCCGGTATAACTCTGCCACTTTTCACCAGCTGCAGAAAGGGCTTCACATGCACATTTTGAAACTAGAAAATAGTTGTATTAATTAGAAACACTACATGAACTTGGAATGACTATTTGATGTTTGCTCTTCTCTCTCTCTTTCCCTGCTGCAGTTAATCAGAAGGTGCAGAAAAAATAATCCAGCCCAAAGGCCTACATTTGAACAAATCAAGAAAATGTTGTATAAAATGAATCCTAATAAAGTTAGCCCTGTTGACATGATGATGACTTTGGTAAATTTAGTGTTTTAATCTAATTCAAGTCAATCTGTTTACTTGAAATAACTTTCACCTCTATCTTTCGGGTTTGGTTTTGACCTCACAACTCTTTTTTGATGAGAAAAGCCATATTTATTCTTTCAGCTCTGGTGGGCTTATTCTAAATGACAATTCTGCCTGAGATCCAGCTTTCCTTCTCATTCCATTTCTGTAATTTTTTCTTAACTTTCTTAACTTCCTTGGGCTGGAACACTTTTGTTTCTTCAGTCAAATGTTGTTTTATTTTGTTTTGTTTTGTTTTTTTTTATATAATGCACTTGCAGGAAACAGTATTCCCCTTTTCCAGTGTCAGTGGTGGTCTTACAAGACTGGGAGTATAGAACCCCTGCATGCGCAAATAACATGTTTACAGATGCATTTTTAGCAGAGTATCTTAAGCCTATCAGCAGTGAAAAGAGACTCCTGCCTTCACAGCCTGTTGTCTCATACAGAGCAAGGATGCAAAAAGCTTAGCAAAGCATAGCAGGATAGTTTATGAAACAGCACTTTGAGATTTTGATCAAAGATTGATGTTCCTTCAGTTTTGATACCATATTTTAATCCATGTCTGAAGCTTAGTCTATGCATTAGATTTGACCCCTAATGTTTACACTTTGAAGAGTCTGGAATTAGCTCCTGCTCTCTTATGTGTCAGCAACAATCTCTAAACCTAGAATCATAAATTTACCTAGGCAGAAATATGATGTTTGGATTTTGTAAGAACAAATTAGGTATCTCAGAAATTAGTCTTTTTTTGTATAAATGTTTTCAAAGCAAAATCTTTCAAATGCTTAAATCCAACTATTACTCTGTTTCAGTAAAAGGATTATTATACATAATTCTCTGTGTTATTTAGATGGAGAAATATAGCAAACATCTAGAGATATTGGTTTCTGAGAGAACTCAGGATTTAATGCATGAAAAACAGAAGACTGATCGCCTATTGTATAGTAAGTTACAGAGCAAAAATATTCAATATTCTTCTCAATAACAGCTTGATTTTAACTGCTTAATTACAGAAAACCTTTGATAGGTGATTATTTAATAGATAACATTTAGTTGGAAATTAAATAACATACTTGTTCCTTTCAAATCTGGAAAGATATTTAGCTACCTTTTACACTTTGCCCCCCAAAATCAGTGCAATCATCCGAGAGCTATTACTCCAGAATCCATAATGCTCTCACTTCGATCATGGTTGGCAATCCTTCTACACAGTTACAAATATTGGGGAATTGGTTTTGGTCTAAGGTTACTTTTATGGCAGTTTATCCTCTGAAATTCTGCACGAAAGAAGGGATAAAGGGACAGGTATAACACATAGGAGAGAAAAAAGAAAAGCCTGTGAAAGTGCAAGATGGGAGAAATAAAGATCAAAAATATGGGAGAAGCGATAGCAAACAAACTTCACACAGGAAGAAAACACTAGCAAAGAGTTGACAAAGAAGGAGTTAGTAATATCCCAAGTCACATTATTAGAATCTAACTTCACTCTGACTTAGAATGTATAGATATTGGTTTGTTTGAACTAAAAGTTATGGGACATCTGAAAAATCTGGACTTGTTATCAGTGAGATTTACTGTGAATTCTCACATTACATCAGAGCAGATTTTGATGGTAAAGAGTGTTTTCACCTTCAGAATATTTCACATTTGCTGACATTTCTTTTATACGTTTAAACAAAAAAAATCTGTTTATTGTGTGTTTTTATCTATGTCAAAAGAGTAACAACCTCTACTTTCTACAACAGGTATGTTGCCAAAGCAAGTAGCAGATGACCTCAGGCAGGGAAAACATGCACAAGCTCAAAGTTACTTAAGTGCCACCATCTTTTTCAGGTAAACAAAAATAAATGATAGGACTAGAACTGACTCCTACTGAAGAAACTTCTAGGTTTCTAGTGGAGGTGAATCTCCTGAGTACAGAATTTCTATCTAAACTGCTATTTATCATGCCACGTGGCACCATTTGACTCTGCAAATGTCTTTCAAAATTCTCACATCTCTCAATTTTTTATTACAATTACTTAAATAAAAAAATTAGATTACTGTGGAGGTTTAACACACAGCGGTGTGTCACTTTATGTGTGTTACACATACATGCATATATGTTTCATAAAATAGGCCTAAGTAAGGGTTCCAGCATTTAGCTGTGTAAAGGAAACTTGTCTATCTTTAGAGTCCAAGTGGATGTAAAGTCTTTGACTTGTTATATGTGCATGAAGCAACACATAAATTTCATGTCTTCATTTATCATAAATGGACAGATATTAAGTTCCCCTTTTTCATTTGTACAAACCCAAAATTGAAGACTACTTAGTCTGTTGAAGATTAAAGTCTTGCTGTAAAAAATGGTTTACTGAGTTCTTAAGCAAAATGACTTAGGTCAGTCGGTCCTTGTAAATGGAAGTAGTCTGTTTTCAGTTTAAGGAGATGTTTGAAGACAAAACTATCCTGTAAGATCCTTAGCAAAAGAAATACTTAAAAAGAGAAGGCTGAGGTAGTTCCACAGAAATTATTACTGTGTGTTTAGGATTACCAATCTGCAATGTTTAAGACAGTGAATGAGTATGTTCTTTTTGTTGTGTTTTAACAGTGACATTGTGGGCTTCACTCAGCTGTCCAGCAGCAGCACACCTTACCAAGTGGTAGATCTCTTGAACAAGCTTTATACCACTTTTGATGAAATCATAGATAATTATGATGTCTATAAGGTGGAGACAATAGGAGATGCCTGTAAGTTCCTAGAGCTGTAGACAATGATGGTGCATGGGTATTTCAACAGGATAGAGGCTGAATTGATGACAAGGAAGAATAGATGAAGGTAATTTGGAAAACTTATTATCACTGGGAAGACCACACAAAACAATTAGGGAATAAGTCCTAGAAGAGCCCTAGCAAAGTTTAGGAATATTTTCCTGCATACCTTTCATAATTTCTACAGTTGATGAATGTTGTGGATGGTACAATGGAGTTGAACAAACTACTGCTGATGTTTATTTGGTTTCTATGACCTGTAAGGTCTGACTTTAAACCATGGCACAGATTAATCCCAGCTGACAACTTCTGTTTCACAAGAACACAAATGAAAAATATACTTTTTGCATGGCAGCATAGATGCCATTTCACTAGCATTATTACCTCCGTCTTTTTTGCAAAGACCATGACAACCTTCCCTCTCCTAATACTCTATAGGGTCTTGGCTGCCTCTTTTTTTTTTGGATTTTTAGGAAAATGGTTTTCTATTTGCTACCATGAGAATCTGCTGTGGATTGACTATCATGAAAATTGAGTTCCATCAAAAACATAGCAGAATCTAGCAGGATTTTTGGATGAGACAGATAAGAAATCCTGTAAGAGATGTGGGGGGAAAAAAAAAAAAAAAACAAAACACTCTTTTTTGTGTGGCATAGTTGAACACATTCTGGAGCATAAAATTAAAAAAAAAAAAAAAAAAATACACCTGAGGGGTCCTGCAGAGACCTGTCTCTTGTCCAACACAGGAAGAGTCAGTGCAGAAAGCACAGGACAATGCCTAGTAGGAGTCATTGTCTCTATAATATATGCCCAAAGACAAAGGGCATTGAACAGCCACTTTCCCGCTCCCTGTCCCACTTCAAGCATTCTCGGTGAAGGGAGGGAGGAAGAAAGGTTGGAAGGGAATAGATCTTAAAGAAAAGTAAGAAAGAAATCTGTCATTTTTCAGAGCCAGGGTAATTACAAACATGAGCTGTTGCCCTATCCTTCATTTGTTTCTGGCTTTCTCTGCTCAGCAGGCTAAACTGTGCCACAGGATATGAATGATATGAAGGAAGCTTTCCTAACTTAGGCAGCATCCTTTGGTAAATCTCTGTGTAATGCCAAAGGTTAACACAGTTGCATTCCTGTGTTAAGATATGGTGGTGTCCGGAGTACCCAAAGAGAATGGGATCCTTCATGCCAGTGAGATTGCAAGCATGGCTTTAGACCTTGTGGATGTCTGCAAGACTTTTAAGATCCCACACAAACCCAACACCCTCCTAAAGATAAGAGCAGGAATCCATTCAGGTATGTTGAGAGCACTGCAAAAGAGTCCTTCTCTGGTTTAACAAATGTTTATGTAGTGGCATTTCCTCTCCATTAAAAATGAAGTTTATTTCTTGACATGAGATGGAACACCTCATAGAGGTCATCCCAACAGAATAAATAATTGGACACCTGGAATATTTGGAACATAACGTGGAATACAGCATTGGAAACACCACATGGCCACAGTGTCTTTGATGATGTGAATGAGGACTGACATTCTATGTCTGTTACTTGTCCTTTTCAGCAGTTCTTTTCTCAAAATAGTGAGTTGGTTCTTGACTCTTTGATCTAGCCTTCACTCACAGACTCCCGGCTCCCTAGATCTAAGCTGATGTGTGATTGCAACTCCTTCTTGATAGACAGCCAGAGCTGGACATGTGCTGTGCATCTGCCAATTAAGCAGCTTACATTGTCTCAGCAAGAGATCATATCTTCTATACTTTAAATCCCATGGGGCTGACATGAAGGAACCAAAATGCCCATTTTCTGCCTTCAGCAGGAGTAGGTTACTTCCTGTTCCTGCTTTTCCATGTGACTAGTGAGCATGTGCTCACAGCTCCCATGGGTGTCATTCCTATCTCACTGCCCCTCAAAATATTCTGTTGTCATGCTGAAACATGATTCTGCAGGTGCCTTAATTCATACACACTCATCACTTCCCCCACTGTTCTCTTTTGAGGTCATTTTGCAACTCCCTTCACGGCTCTGGAAGACATCTGTATGCCAGGTGTTTAACCCATATAAGACAATACTGACACTCAGTCATTATTTTGTTAATGAATGAGATATAAGGTAATGTAGGAAGCAGACATGAGTCTGTATGACTGATTATGTGATTTACAACCACAAAAATACCTTGTTTTCCTTTTTTTTAACAGGGGCAGTTGTAGCTGGAGTTGTTGGGACCAAAATGCCACGATATTGTTTATTTGGAGATACTGTGAACACAGCTTCCAGGATGGAATCTACTAGTGAAGGTAACAAAAAACAAACTCCAGATGTGGTTTTAACCATCCCTTAACGAGTTCTGAAAAAATGTTATGCTGAGTTTTGAGTCCTTTCTTGTTTAAATGACTGCAAATCCTGTAAGGATGGTGTTGATTTATGGGTTCAATCTGTCTGTGGTATTCTCTACAACATTTGTAAGAAGATCTGTTCATTTCCCAAGTCTCAGAGAGAGGCTTTGATGGTTTTGAAGTTTTCTACCATAAAAAAAGGGTAGGAATCAGATAAAATGAGATGTGAGTGGGTATGTTCACTGTTTCTATTCCTTCCTGACACCCAGCTGAATAAAAAGTTTTTTATGACTCCTCTTTTTCACTGATAACTTCCACTAATGGCGAATACAAGAGATGGTAGGACGGCATGGGAGCTGTGATGGTCTTTAACCAGCATAGATTATATATGTGTCCTGCAGCAAAAAGATTAAATCATGGAGATACCCTCACTTTCATTTCTTTCCAGGAGATAACAGAGCTACATGTTTAGTTAGCAAGCTTCATCTTTAGCCAGTATGAGAATTTGAACCTTAACTTCTGAAATATTTTAGCCTGATCTACAACAACTATGAAGAAAAAAAAAAAAAAAAAAAAAAGAATGAGGGAGTAATACCAGATCAAACAATGATGGCTTGTTTATGTTTCTTCCATTCATGAAATGCAGCTGAATACTTTTATGGATCACACTGCAATACTTTGTAAATGGAATTGAATTTGGCAAAATCAAAGGTGTTTTGAAGTTTAATTTTGTGATTAAAAAGTGATGCTTTCAACATCTATCATGATCTAATAAACAGGGCATAAAGACAGAGGAGTGGACCTACTTGATGGCTTTGAAAGTTTAACCTGGGGATTTGAGAATCAACCAGGATCCATGATATCTCACCATATTATGCACTTTTCCAAAGCAAATGCTAGCCTGAGTGGAACACATGTGACTTCATTTTCCTTCTATTCAGACTCTCAGATAACTCCTTTCCTTTTCCTTCTCCTTTCAGGCTCCTTGTATCATCTCATCTAAACTGCTTCAAAATCTGCTTCCATCATTCTTCATATTTCATCTCTTGTTCTGCATGTCTATTTCTCATATGGCCCATCAAAACCATAAACTTAAAGACAGAGCTTCTTATCTTTTAAGCATTTCTTTTATCCCCCTGTTTCTCTGGCCACATACATCTGAGGATCTCAAATTACATTAACATGTTTTAACCCTACGACTTTAAAATAGATAAATTAGTTACTAACAATGTAAAATAAAATTACTGTCACCTGGGATCTGAGTGCTAGTGTTTTATTCTCAAGCAGGATGATCAGTTAAAATGCCAGTATCTACTGGAAAGATTATTTCAGAAATATGTGTCAGTCTATTTTGAAACATATATTTCCTGGTCTACAGGGAGTGTTTTGCGACTTTCAGTAAAAGACATTTAAACAAACAAAATGTGGATGTTACAAAACTGTGATTTTTTGATATAAGAAAAATCAATAAGACAATCATAGCCAATCCTAGTATCTATCATCTGAGATCTTTTTAAAACAAAGCAGCATAATGATTTACTCTGTATTGCAGAATGTTAAAGACAGAAAAAGGCCAGGCTTTTTTTTCATCAATTTTCCAAATTTTAACAAAATTTTGCTTTGTAGCAAAAGTAGGAGTATTCATAATTTGTTCTATCTGTCTTCCTCCTTGGTCCTTCCTCCATCATTTGCAAAAGGCAGGACAGCCAGGGTTTACATGCAGATAAATTCTTAACTAGGGAAAAATCACATTGGTAAAAAAAAAAAAAAAGGAATCAAGGTAATATTGTCTCTTTCCCCTGTTTTTATTTACAGGTCTGGAGGAAGAGCAAGGATGGCAGTTTCTTTAATGTTTAGACTTTTCTGAAGTACAGCAAAGCACTGGCTCTTTATTGACCAAGATGGTCAATGGTTTTCCTCGCAAAATGAATAGGGTGCTTGTCAATAACTCCAGCCAGGCAGCTATTAAGAGTACATAAATAATACTAGATGCAGGATGTGAAGAAGAGTAGTGTTTGTTGACAGCCACATATTTGTCCTGAGATGCTCTCAGAAAGGGTCCAGGATGCTGGACCTTGTGTGCAAACATTTCAAATAACAGAGGAATAACAGCAAAGACATGAAAAAAGCAAGAAGGATTTTATTAATGAGTCTTGAAATCTTTGTCACACAGAGGGGGATGGGTCTGTCTTAAATGTTTTGATTGTTACGATAATATGACAATTGTCTCTTTTTCCAGCTCTTAAAATACAGTGCAGTTCAAGTGCATACCAGCTGCTGGAACAGATTGGGGAGTATGTGTTAGTATGCCGTGGGAATTTACAAGTCAAGGTGTGTATGCAATATTTATACTCAGCTTTTCAAAGAAGAGAGTGTGAAAGTACTCTGGAGTCCCTTAATTTTAACCGATGCAGTCCTCTCTGTCAGAGTCCTTGGGTTAGCCTATTTCCTGTCCCCGAGGAGAGCAGGCTCAGGTTTTAAACCAGGACCAATTCCATGGGCTTGTTCATGTGACAAACTTGATAATTCAGAGATGAAAGACTTAACCAAACTTGGAAGTATGTAACTGCTTGAAATCAAAAAAGGTCATTCAGAGATATCATAAATCATCATAAGAGTTCTATAAAAGGACTAACATACTTCTGGACCCAGTTCTGGATGGGGATTCAAGGAATTGTTTAAATCAGTAGTGCTGCCACTATATTTTAAGGAAAAGTTTTATGTCTCAGTTTTCCTGTATGTAAAATGGCTGACAGGCACATCGGTCTCCCTTTGGGATTTGCTTTGTGTTAAAATAAGAATATTATTACACAAATGATGGGTAGTATTATAACACTATGGTTCATTTTCTTCCGTAGGGGAAAGGAGACATGATAACATACTGGCTTGAAGGTAAAAAAGACTCTTTTACCCAGAAGGCAGTCACCAGCACTTCTGTGACTCTTCAAGACCCCAGAAGAGCTTCGTTTGGTTTGATACCAGGTGTTCTTTCCAGTGATCCTCTCTCAAGTCCTGCTTACTAGCCACTCACAAAGTCTAGCATCCATCCTGCTTTCAGCCTGCTAGGTCACCCTTCTGAATTAGAAAGTAAGAAAAGAGATAGTACACCCCTTTGGCCTTGTGGATGTATCATTTATTCACAGGTATCTTTCTCCCACCAGTGGCAGGAAAAATACAAAAAAGCAAAAACATCTGATGAATGATACATAAGACTGGCCCACCAGCTGCTAGGGCAGAAGGTAGCTCCCAGTGTTACTTGTTGATTTGGTTTTGCTGAATAATCCCATGCCAGAAGCCTCCATCACTTTAAAACCAACTGGCTGGACATTCCTGCCTGTAAGCTACTCCTAAAGGAAAGAAGGAGAAAGTGTGGCATTGCTATTTAGTGGTGTGATAAACCTTGTGGTTGTGATTAGCTTTGTGCTTTGAAAGGGAAAAATGAGATGTTATTGTGTCGGAAAGCAAGGTCCATTGAAAGAGGAGCATGAAGCAGTGCATTCATAGTGGATACAAATTGAAATGAGAATTTGTGCTTCTGCTTCCATTTCATCCCCATTGCCTGGAGCACAGAAAGAAGAACTAAGAAGAAAGTCCAAGATATTTCCATAGAGTCAACACTTAGTGATCTCTGCCATCTTGGTACAGGGATCTGAAAATCTTGGGAGAGAAATTAAAGACATTGCATACTGTTGCTAAACAGAAGAGAGTCCATTACAGCTGCTCTTGTCTTTGGCTGCTCTGGGATTTCTCTGAAAAACTGCTCTTAACTTTATCTTACATTATGGAGTTGCTTTGACTAAAGTGGAGGAGAAGTTACTATTGCTGGCTAGCTGTCTGACTGTGAAATCAGGCAGCCCTCTGAGTCACTGTGTAATTTAGGATACAGTTTAGAAAAGGTCATTCCTGAGCAAGCATTTCCTGTAAAAAGAGACCCTTCACTATCAATGGAGTAATCTGTTGATGAGCATGGTTCTGTAAGCACTGCTAGTGTTGACTTTCTTTAAAGACAAAGCATATGTACGGTGGACTTTGTTTATACTTTTTAGGGTTTTATTTATGACAGTAAATTACCTCTCAAGACTAATCTATTTTGAAGAGTTTAGCCAGTTCCAGCTGGACAGATTAATGAACAGTCTAACAGAATTAGATACATGAAATAGATGAAAGAAGGATGCCAAGAGTCACAGCCGTTCCACCATAATTTGAACTGGACTGGCCAAAGCTAACTGAGAAGAGGTGAAAAAGAAGGACTGCGAATGACAGAGCACCACTTATTCTTCCATATTCTGCTCCCTTACCCTCCAGTCTGTCCCCAGTCCTAGGTACAAGTACAAAAACATATATGTACATGCAATTTTTCTGGTATAAATTTGTGTAGTTTAAGTAACTGACTAGTTATCCGTGTTTTCACGTATCTAGCATACTTTTAATGCTGAATATGTGCTGTGTAATAGTAGTAGGAGAATCACACTACCATGTTTCTTCAGCTTCTATGGGAAGTAAATGCAGTGATAACATTAGATTTTTTGGAGGTGCCCAATAGAGATAGAAAGCTAAATCTTCCTGAATTATGTAAGACTTATCTGAAATCCACAGGAAAATATAGAACATTCTGAGTGAAATTCTGTCTCAGAAGTCTGTGGGAATACTACCACTTGAATGGGACCAGAATCTCAGCAACAGACATACTCATAGCCGATCTTGTCACATGAGATCCCAACTTAGAGTCCAGCCAAATTTTTTAAAATTAAAAATTTTAATTGGTTTCACATTTTTTTCTAAACTTAAAAGATTCATTTGCATATTTTTGAATTTCATATGGTACACGGTACAGTACAGTTACCTCATTTGTAATCTTAGCAAAATAAACCTTTCAGTTAGCAAGAGCCCAGAGATGTCCTTTAACACAACCATTTCCTTTACCCAAATACTACCTATTGTGAAACTTTCTGCTCTATTATAGTGCTGCATGATGTATTACATTATTCTTTTAATGAGTTAGCATAATTACACTTTTATTAGAAAGGTGCATATCATAGGGATTTTTATCGAATATGAATGTGAAAGCATGTGCTTTGTTATATGTTCATCGGTAAGATCACTTCTGTAAGAGTACTTCAGCTTTAACTCTTGTCCTTTACTTTAGTGTTGTTTTTAGAATTAAAAGCTTTAAAATGAGTGTCTGCTGAGTTTAAAGTCTTCTAAGTAGAAATAAGTGATGAGTGACCATGACCAAGTTCTCATGATTGACAAACTTCACCACTGACATGTCCTTGTGTAATGTTAAAATTCTACTAAAGATAGTAGAGACACTTTCTCATTTCAGGAGGCTTAGAGTCTGGTGATTATCTACAAAAGAGGTACAGCTTCAAGAACACCAGTGTCAACCTACCTCTCTGTTTTGTTGCTATCTCTTGATTGTCTCCTCATACAGAGCATCCCCAGAATGAGAAATAGATTATTTTCTAAGATCTGTTGAATTTGTGGTATCTCTCCTGAGATTTCAAGTGGTAGTCCTTATTAATGTCAGTTTGTCTGATGACTGTGATGAGATGACTGTTCTTCCTCCAGAAGATGGAAGTACAGGGTAATGAACGTTATAGATGCAAATGGAAGTGTCCTCAGTCAACTGGCAAGTATTTAAGATTAATCTTGGGCATTTTGACAGATGTAGTCAGTGCCTACAGACATATTTCATTGTCAACTACCAAAGTAATAGGTAAGTTTCAGGAACATGAGCTGTATTTGGTTACACAGATTTTTATTAGAAGTTAGCTACAATGCAGCAATCATTAGAGATTGTATGACATAGCAAATTCAGCAAAGGTGGTTTCAGCCTAAAGCCTGTGAGTTGTGCTTTGCTTTTTTCTCCTGGGGATGGCATTGCTGCAGAGATAGTTTTTTTTTCTGTATTGTTGTGGCCACATAAGCATATGTATGTATAATAATATGCCTATAGAATATATACAATATAGAGAGAATTATATATTCTTCTACATATAAAACTTGTCTGGCTATAAATGTAACTGTATAGAGAGGTTAGTGCAAATCAGTACCCAGTAGAAGGACACACAATTGTTGACAATTGTTGCCTTGGGTTTCTACTCTGCAAGCATCTCAGTTTTTGAACCCACCAAGGGAACATGGAGTGGTGCTCTGCACAGAACTTCGTATATGAGGGCAGGTGGTCTTTATAGCACCTGCAAACCAAAATGCTGTTCCACTTCACCACTCAAAATATATATCCTTGTGTGGGATGGCATTTGTGGCGATGTTACTGCAAATTCAGATCTCCAGAGAGTCCTGTTACAGCTCCTGGTGTCTCTCGCTGCCCAGGAAATGTAGCAAGGAAGCTCGTTGTGGCTAACACTGTAGCTGCTGACTAAAGTCCTGATGACCTTGGCAATGCAGGAAAGCGTTTACCAGCTGGTAAAGCTGAAGTATGACAGCCAGTAAGGTGCTCATCTGTGAGATGATTTAAATCCACAGAGATTCGCATTCCAGATGTATAGTTAGTCAACTAATCCAGCAAGTATTCTTTTCTAAATTGTCACTCTATACAGATAAATACGTGATGTGATCCTCCTTTCCTAGGAGATTATATCCCTACCAGGAAATGGGAACACAATTGTAATAATTGAGCTGAAGAACTGAAGGTGATATGTACTTTATAGGTCACTTCAGTTCTTCACTCTGTGGCCATTCATTGTCTATGGTCATGCAAAATAATGCAGGGGATACTAATACTGTATTCATGATGGGGTGATTTTATGGAAAGACTATGAATTCTGATTATTGTTTACTACAGCTCCATCTACATACAGGTGAGGATGCAGGCAGGTATGTTAAAAAAATCACACAATGCAAAAACTGACTTATGAAAGTCTTTAATTAGATCGATAAACCTTCACTATATTAATTCAGTTTGAATGTTGAGGAATAGACTGCATAACCACAATATTTAAAAAGCCCAACAAGTAAAAAAACAACAGTTAATGTATTTCCAGGTGTAAAACTTCCTAAATTTTATTCAAACCATTGGCATCGGAAAAAGACTTTTGCCACCAAAAAGTTAGTCTTTATCCCCTAGATTAGGTAGCAAACATCTTTTAATTAGCTATTTATCGATATGTACAGAGGGTCTCCAGTTCTTCTTGCGTAAACAGAAAAGTTATCTGTTCCTTCCTACAGCTAATTAGTCCAACCAGAATTTATTTTTTTTAAAAAAGAAAAATGGAACAAAATCAGGTGTTCTTTGCAAACAGTGTAAGGGCATAGCATGAGTGTTGAGCCTGACTGGGTGGTCAGAGGATGCAGGGTCTCTTTAAGATCTATGTCTGAAGAAGAGATTGGTGTGAGGTTCCCCAGCATGTAGAACATCTCTCTCTCACACCCCATTCAGACCCCCAAAACCTACTAACCTAAATTCCATCCGAATTTACCTCAAGAGTAAGAGTCTTTAGGTTTTTAGAAGTGTCTTTCTGGGACAGTCCTTTCAGACCAGTAAAAAGACAAGGCTATGAAAGATTAATCTGATTATTCTCCAGCTGGCCACCATCTGCTTTTCAGCTAACGAGTACTCCGTCCTCCTAATCCCTGTCTGATTTTCCCCCTACTTCATGCCAGTCAGTGTAAAACATTGGTTTGTACTTTATTACATTCTAAATTGGAATTCAAAGATAAAATCATTTGAAATCCATTCTTCAAAGAAAATAGGTGAAAATTCCCTCTCCTCCTAATTTAAAATTTGCTAAAATGCACTTTCTGATGTAGAGATATAAAACAACCAGTTTGAAATGTAGGAGAGTGAGTTTTGTATAATTTGTTTGTGTGAGAACCCTAAAGAGTGAAACTTTTAAGAGAGCATGCGTGAATCTACATGGTGTTATTTAGTGTCTCATATTATACTAGCCATGGTTCTCTGGTTCAGACAGGGAACCAAGCTACCCCATCTTCTGTATTTGCACCTCACCTTTCCACTGAACTAGGTTTTGTGCATCCTTTTTGGAACTAACTTCTACTGCTGGATCCAGCAGTTTTCATACAGTACTAAGTTTGACCTTGAAGCTCCATGTGAAATTTTTACTGTTACTCCATTGTAAATTTTGTCTTGGATTCCAATGGCAATAGGATAGGTACTTCCTAGCCAGTGAATGCCAAATACAAAGCTACTGTAGTAGCATCCTTATGTTCATGAGTGCATGTAATTGCTAATGATTATCACTGCATTTCACAGAAAATACAATGGTGTG